TATGAAATTGTTATTTTGCTTATGGTGGCATTCAGATCTGACTTTGCACTCATCACTCAGAGCTTTGTGGTGCTGATTTAAATGGTTAAACAAATTAGTCATCTTGCCCTCCTGATCTTTGCTCATTTTGCTGTGCACACATGGAACCTGCATCTCAACAAACTCTGTCTCTTTTTAACATAGTTAAAAGAAAACTCGGTGTGTCCAAGAAAACTTAAATCTGAGAAAATTTTGTTCTGTCAGACAGACTTGTCTTGTAGATCAGTCATGAAAAGTAAGAACTGTGTGAGTTTTGTTTCTATATAAAATTATATGTTTGCATTGATTTGAGTGTTATGCATGTTGTAATGTTGATGCTGAAACTGTATATTTTGCAGCTCTAATGTGTACACTGTTTGACCGGCATTAAAAAGCAGACAGATAAAGTTAGCAATTAGCTGGTGAACATAGTGAAGCATTTAGCTGCTTAAGAGCCAGATATTTCACACAGGAGATCATTAAAAACAAAGAACAAAAAAAACAAAACAAAGAGAGTAAAAGTTTTACTAAGATTAATCAGTTAGTCTGATGCATGACTAAAGAAATTCTAATTGTGCTCCATGTCTGCTGGATGTTTTTGCTAACATATTCAACATGTTAACCGTATCCAGCTGTTACAATAACAATGTCACTCATAGTGATCAACCACCAGAGAATTATCACCTAAACTTCAGCTCCCCTAAATTCTAAGCCACTTTATCGTGGGTTTCAGGTCTCTGTTGTGGTTTTCTGGCTGCACCTTCAATGTTTTGTTACACTCTCCCAATAGAATTCAGCAGGTGACTGTTTTAAACTCACTGTATACTATATGCATGGTGTCAAACAGCAGATAGACACAGTTAGTGACTAGCTGGTAAACATAGTGGGGCATTGAAAGAGCTAGATTTTCCCTCCTGAGTTGGTAGAGACAAAAAAAAGAGAGCAAAAAGTGGAGTAAGTATTTGACTTAGATTAATACGTTGGTCAAAATAATGTTGTTTCATGTCTACTGGATGTGTAATTGTATCTTTTATCAGATGGATTTCTTTGTTTTCTTTCTAAGTATGTGGTACTATAATGCAGGCAAGGTCAAATGAGGGAAGCAATGCAACACTCATCCTTGATAGAGATCTGCTTTGCAAAGAGTAGCCTTGGCATCCGGCAGTGATCTCACCTGAACATTGCCTCATCGGCAGAACTGTCTCCTCAGCATCCCGCTGGGAGACATGTTGGTTGTATGGGTGTTTGTTTGCGTGCACATTGCTTGCATCTAAGCACGCGCACGTGTGAATGGATGAACTTTATGAATGAAAAGTCTTCTTCCTGAGCTGCAGACAAGAGGTGAGATCATCTTGTTGAAATGGAGAATCCCCCACCCACAACATCATCCCTCACCCGCCCTCCAATAGGGGTTGGCGCCAATTTAATGAATCCCATCAGTGGACGATATGGATGAAACACACAGCAGTGGCATCCTGATTGATGACAATACTGGCCAATATCAGTTTCCCCCGACAGACAGGAAGACATGGCTCCATAATGCGTATTGACACATAGGCACACAAATGCAGAATCACACTTTTACCTTCCTCCTTTATCAGAAAGCTGAAAGAATATCTGCTATTTTGTTGTTGGTTTTCAGTCAATATTACGATGAAGCAGAGTGCCAATTATGTTTGCTTCTTTTGTTCACGTTCCCTTTAGGAATAGAGTTGAGTGGATTTGATGATTGGCCACCTATTCAGCTGTGTGTGAGTGGAAGTGACAATGAGTAACATGAGGGGCTCTCGATGAGGATCCATAAATAGGCTCTCCAAAGAGCCAGAAGCTGCCCTCCCCCTCATTCTCTAGTCTCCATCCAACCACACACACACTCACACACCTCTACTCTACCACCTTCCCCCTGAGCGGACTGGGACAATCTGTGTCCACTTGGCACTGGGTCTCATACAACATACTGTACACCCCAAGTCAGAGGAATGTGTACGCACATGCACACGCATGACATTCCTCTCGACATTCTCCACTGCAGGCTTCTGTTAATTCCCTCCTACGGATCATGATGCATATTGCCAAACAATGCAGCATTTTACATCAGCTCTTTGGATGGATGCCACAGTGTGTTTGTTGAACAGTCACTCAATTTAATAGCTTGATTTTTGTTATTTTTCTCTTAAAGTCAAAGAATCTGAACTGGATATGTAATGTGACACAAGAAAAGGCAAATACCTCATGCAAAATCTATGGTGCAGTATTTTCAAAGTAAATGGGAGTCCCACTGAATATATTTCTGAGGAGCTGCCACCTTGTAGATTGGAGGTTTTTTGTCTGATAAGGAAGGATACCCTGCGGCATTCATTCTGTGCTTATTTCTGATGGAGTAACCACAACAGAGGCAGAATCTGTTGGTGGACATCACAGGCAGCCGTACTCATCCTTAGAGGCCTGAACATCCCTGAAGAAGAGCCGTCCTACAACTACAAGCTATGATAAATAAATCATGAGGAAAGTTTTAAGAAAAAGATAGAAATAGAAAAGAACATGTGCTTCTCCATTCAGACTGCCTTAAGACAGAGTAAGGAGAGGAATTGGAGATGGGGACGGCATGAAATAGCAAGAATGATGAAGGCAACTGATTTATTTTTTATTTTTTTTACAGCCACACTATTTCTTTTTCATATGATTTAAAACCCTTACATGAAACATTCATATACCACATTTTTTAGGTGTGGTTGTCTGATATAAAGACTAGATAAAGATATAAAGATAATATTCCATTAAATTGTGAAATTAAAATGCAAGCATCTAAGCCACTTTTGAAAATAAGGCAAGTAAATATTTCGAAGTCCCACAAATTATACCTCAGTCTGATAGTGTCCTACTGGGATGGTTTTTTTGTTAGTTTCTTTTTAGAATATGTTAGATTACTTGTGCAAAAACAGGTCCACTGTTTTTTTGCTGTTGCTCTCAAATTCCATTTGTTGATCAAAATGCAGATTTAAAAAAAATAAAATAAAAAAAAACCCAAACACTTGGTCTCAGTCTCCATCTTTACTACAAACTGCCTTATGAACTGTACTCAAGAAAAAGAAAGATTTCTTTTTTTTTTTTGCTTTTGGTAGTCTTATTTTTCTCCTCTTTACATTGAAGCAGAAGGCAGAGAATGACTCAAAAGATGAATAAATCAGTTTTTCCTAATTCTAACTGCACTGGAGGTATGGGTCTCAACCGAATGCCAAGATCTTTTTTCATCATGAATTAATGAAGCACAGTAAACAGGAGAAAGTGGAGGGGTTGGCGGTTGGTTTCCACTGCTTGTGTGTGTGTGTGTGTCTGTCTGTCTGTCTGTCATGGTTTGTCTGTGTAGTAGTTAGGGTTTCCCCCCGCTGTCTACAAGCAGCATGATGAGGTCATCGTTATGGGTTTAAGCCCAACACGGATTTAATCTGGGAGATAAGGGCTTGGATTTGGATTTAGCACTCAAAAAGGGTCATGTAGCGACAACCACTTAGTAAATACAAAGCTCAGACATGGGATCCCCCAGCTGTTTCACAAACTTGTGCTCCTCTGTGCCAAGCCAAATGGTTTGACACTAGTTGAAGATTCTTCACTGTTTACGCTGATTTCATGAACTCCCCGTTGCCCTGCAGAGTTCACCTACTCAACATGCAGGATTTCCTTGACTTGAATGTGTGAGCAATGTGAGCTGAGAGAAAGTGAGTCCCTTTTGTGTTGGATAGAGGATTTCTGTGATTATTTAATGTTAAATTCCCATGAAATGGCTTGACAAACCCCTGAATTACTCAAGTGTGACAAATGTTAAAATTTAATGAATATAAAGTTGCCAACTTTGTCATAAAAAGCAAGAAAAATAAGGTGAGATGTGTTACATCGACTATATTTCATCTGATTTCTCCAGTATTAGTCAGGAAAAGGTCTGAAATAATGCATTTCTGGACATTTTGTAGACTAGTTTTCCTTAATATTCATATGTTGCATCCTGGATGTAGTTTTTAAGACTCATTTCGTAAGTTTCATGTACAACACAATCACAATATCGTTAATGAATTCATTGTAGGATGCCAGGCCTTGGAAAGACCTTGAAGAATAACTTGTAAACAGGAGGCTTTGAAGATGATATCTGGGCAGTGTTGCAGGTATTGGGATCATCAAATTCAAGCAAGATTTGTGTTTTAAAATGACAGTTGTTTAAATGAGTGTGATATTTTATTTCATTCAGGTTAATTAAAGTCGCTGAGGGAAACACATCACGCCTGGGGAAAGTCCCATTTAGGTCCTTCATGCACTGTCCCACTCTGCATCTTAGAGAAATGGGTCAGTAGAGATTGGAGATGATGATAATAATGCAAAAATCCTGCCGTCCTTCCTTCATGTCCCCTCGGTGGCAGACGGAGCTCGCAGATTATGCACCAATTACAGCAGTACAGAGGGCGTTAATAGGGTTTGAAGGGATTTACACAGTGCTGTCCAGTCAAATGCTGCATGCTTTGGGAATGACATCATTTTGATCACCTCACATACCGGCTGAACCTCCTCCTCCCCGTCCTAACTCACACACAAGCCCGTGTACCTGCGGTTGTCCCGTGTCTCACCGGACTCCGCGCGTCACGGCGCATTTCTCCTCCGATAGGCGGACATCCACAGCGCCTCCCTCCCACCAGTCTTTCCCCCCTTCTCATCGCTCGTGTTTACTATAGGTGAGATATGGTCGTATAAATTCCTGAGTGTGCGCAGATTGGGTCCTCAGAGGGGGAATGGAAAAGGAGGAGCAGGAAAACAAGCGAATCAAGGGAGTGTAGCGATAGATGTGTTTACTGTTCAGCGGAATTAACGCAGGAGAGACGCACACTTCCACGGAGCACTGATCGCTGGATGCAGAGAAGGAGGAGGGAGATTGTGGATGCTGGAAAATCCAAAGAAGAGGAATCATTAGCTGGTTGCTGTTAGAATACATCTTAAACCAAAGCGGAATGCAATTAACAGCGATGGACTCCAGCTGTCGGCACTAAGGTAGGAGTCGTTGGATTGACAGTGGTGGTGAAAAACAGCAGGTAGACAAGAGAAAAAGGCAGCCGTTTTTGGCTCAACATTACGCAGCCTGTCGTTTATTTAATCTAATGTAAACTGCCATCGTGTGTTTGACTGTAACTTCGGCGTTGTCAGTGATGCTCCACTGATGCACCGGATCTGGTAACTGCAGGAGGTGCAGGGAGAGGCGATGATGCGCCTCTGATACATCCACGAAGCACTGGCCTGTAACCGAGCGTAGCCTGCTCCTGCAGCTCCCACAGCTGATACCTCGAAATAAATAAAGTGAGAAGCCGAGCAGGACTATTAGGAGACGGGATCAGTCGGATGTGAATGATGTGTACACCAGCTGTGTCTCAGTGGTTGGGTTTCTCTCTGTGCAGAAAATTATAATGAGGATGATTTTTTTTTTCCTGCAGACTTTATGGTTGTGTCTGTATGGTTCATCTATACATGGTTATATGCAGCTAGAGTATATATATGATAGTGGGCTGATAACTCATACACCAGATGCCAGATACATTACTTTAGGTGGCAGAGTCAATCACATAAGGATGGTTGATAAATATCGATACAATTATTGTCATTTCACTCAAATTGACCTTCAAACTGGCAAACGTGCACCTCACTATGGCTGAATGATCTTGAAAACCCAAGTTTAGTGTTCACTCCAAGGAAACACAAGTATGTTTTGTCTCATATACTGTTTAACAGCATGATGATGCTTGTACTGTGAAGGAGTTTGATTTGTATCGTTTTACTGAGTGCGTAAAACCTGTCACCTCTTAGTCTTTCTTGTCGGAGATGGAGGAGAAAGAATGGATCACTTCAAAAGGCTCTGACAAGAAATAATGCATTTTCATTCTCCGCTGAGCGTGCACATACTGCTGTCCTTGGAGAAATGTAGAGCTTTGAAGACGCCTGCAGAATTCTCTCGTTGTTCTGCAGCTGTTGTGTGATCTCATTCATTTTAATACACCCGTGATGTTGCTCGAGTAGGATGTAAATAACCAGCTGTGGCACCATTCGGCCTAGTTTAGTTAATCGTGAATGTGCTCAACCAAAAGTAATGCAATATTACATGTTACATTCTGAAACATGCAAGGAAATGACTTAATTTAGGTACTCTTAAATATTGTGGCACCGAAGGATATTTAGTCTAAGGGGGGTCCTCACATCATTTGCTGCACTTAATCAAAGCTAGTGCTGACGTGAGGTTTTCTCAGATTTATGGTCCAGACAGGATGCTCTTTTGTCCCTCATCCACGCATCCTGACTCATGGCTCACATTCTTATATTTAATACTTTGAGACATGCATCATAACCCATCAGGTATTGTCACTGCTTTAACCAGCATGAAGAATGATAACTCTTATCTTCACCTGTATCTGTCAGCTTAAAAAATAGATTTGTTCTGTGTTGTGACAAATGTCTCATGTTATGGATTGTGTGAAATCTTGTGCAGTGATAATTATCTTGAAGGCTGATGAGGAATTACATCATTTTTATTTGGCCTGTTCTCATAAAGTCTGCTTTAAAACAGGAATCCATGTGGTTTTATTCCCGTAAGAATAGAAAATAGGTAGAAAATATAGACTTCTGTGATGCTGGGGGTATGCCTTGTCTTCCTGCATTCAGAGCTGCTTGGGTTAGACTTGAGTCTTTTGGGGTACAAAGCAGTAACTTCAAGTTTCTCTGCCACTTATGATATTTATATGTAGGTTATTACTGATAATAGTCCTAAACACTCGCCAACAAGCTCATTATTAGTTTATGCAACCTTTAACTTTCATTTCTCTGTTTGGTCTCATCCAGACTCCTAGTTCTCCAGTCTTTCTGATGACCGCAGCCCCTCATGGCGCTCATCCATGAACCTCGTGCCCCTTCACCCTCTCTCTCCGGCTTCAACACACCACTCTCCGATCCCCCGTCCTTTCGCCGCCTCGATGCCGAAACGCCCTGCACCCCAGAAATGGACCTGACCCCAACCCAGTGCGTCCTTCGCAACGTCCTCTCCATAGACACGGGAGGTGCAGTGGAGCCGGGGGGCGGAGGAGGAGGAGGCGAGGGGCAGACTGCCGGACACAACCAGACGCCCGGCGAGGAACAACAGGAGCATTTTGCCAACAGCGTCCTGAAGCTCCACGAGCACGATGGGAATCCTGGACGGACGGAAGGAGAGGGGCAGGAAGCGGACGGCAGCGTAGTCAGGAGCCAGGCGGATGACGCCAGGTTACAGTGCCAGTCCACAGGAGGGGGAGGAGGGTTTCTCGAGGGGTTGTTTGGGTGTCTGCGGCCTGTCTGGACTATGATTGGAAAAGCTTATTCCACAGAGCACAAGCACGACCTGGACGGTAAGTCTAGCAGCCACACTCATTTAAGTATCAAGTGCACAGACGAACACATCTATATAGACACTGCATTCAATGGTTGCTTTTATTTTTCCAATAAAAAGCAACCACTAGCTGCCATTTAATTCCAGCGTGAAGCTTTGATATGTTAATTAAATGATCTTATCCCCCACTTTAATTACATTAAACAGTTGGGAGAAAAATGACTTCCACAAAGGCCTCGTTGTAAACAAACACTTTCCTTGACATGAACGAGCTGCAGCCAGAGAAGGAGACTCTATCAAAGCTGCAGAGGGCTTATGTTCCCCTGATACCCCCCCCCCACTCACACATACACACACACACGCACACACACACACACACACACACACACACTCACCATCCATGCGCCTGCTTGTGCCCACCTCCCACTACCACCCCCCCAATGAAACTAGCTCCCTGTGACGCTGTGTTGTTTATGTCTGCAGCCACTACAATAGCGCAGGGCTCCCCTGAGACTCCTCTGCCAAATCTGCTTCATGAATTATGCATGGCCACGCTCTGACCCTGTGCCTCTCATCTCTATTAACGCAAACCTGACACACACGCACACATATGTGAGTGTGCACCCAGAGGATGAAGACACACATCCACATATAGAAACACTTAATATCTTGCACTGACACGAACACATAAAATCAGATAGATGCCAGATACAAACTTGATAAAATAAATACAGCATCAGACATCAGGCTTGAAGGTGGCAGTTTCATACCTCTCCTGGTCTTTACTGCCTTCTGATATTTTATCACCCGTTTGACTTCCACATCTCCCCTCTACTCCCCTCCTCCTCCTCCTCCTTCCATCCCTCATTGTCTCCCTTCCTCTCCTTTTCATCCTGTGCTGTTATCACTCCCAGCCCATCTGCACCTCACTGCTCCCCTCCTCTATGCGCCATCACAGGGAGTCACACACACACTGATGAGAGCAAAACGGATATTATGAAAGTGAAATAAATAGGGCTTTTGCAACAGAGTGCCAGCCTTCCATTCAACAATGCCCTATTCTTAAGCTTTGACTAGAAGGAACAATGTACCTCAATAGAAAAGAGAAAAAAAATTGCTGGTCCTTCATTGATTCTGAAGGACTGTGGGATGTCTGGTGCTGTGCTAAATTTCCTCAGTTTTTTCAAATCAAATAAAGCAGACATGGTGGCATATCAGATGTGGCCTTTATGTCTTTATTGTGGAAAATTTGAGGGGCTCATTAGAGACAGAGCTCCTCAATCAATCACTGGAGAGCATTAATCATTCATATCATCCTTATTAATATGATAAATGTGTCTGACTCTTCTCTGCTCGGATTGAGAACAGCAGCAGAGTGTGCTGTATATTTTCTCTGTATTAACAGTCTGTCTTCAGCCACATGGACCCCTGCTGACCCGTGGGGAATCCCCCTCCCATCTCTTCTCGTTACACGCACACAGTAACCACCACCAATACTACCCCTCCACGTCCTCTATTCACCGTACATCCACATTAGGCTCTCAAAATCCCCTCCCTCTTCCAACCCCCTTCCTGAGCGTCGGACCCCTGTTTTGCGTCAGCCCCACAATGGCACTAAGCAGGATTTAGGAGGCTGAGGGAGAATTACCCACAGGAGATTAGAGCTCCCTGTCTGTCTGCCTGCACACCTCAGTCTTAGGTTGAGGTGAGGTTCAACTGCAAAACAAGATATCAACAAGGGTTTTGTGTTGAGACTTTCAGGAGGTTTTACTGCCACGGGGTTAACCTTTCGTTGCTTTATGATACCACCAGTGGTGATACTGGACCCTTCCCAGCTACTAGCTTTAGTTTTACATATAGGCGTGGTGGTATTTTGTGGCGTTTTCTGCTTAGTTTTCTATTTTAAGATAGTCTTTAACCTCAAAAGTCATTACGAGATTCAGGTACAACAGTGCTTTGAGCAAAATCACTGTGCTAATGTTTACCAGATATCCTATTCACTGTGTTTATCATCCTAGAAAGCCTCATAACAACTGTGCTACTCAAGAAGATGCTGAGGCTGATAGAAATGCCATTCGTATTGCTGGTTTGTGGTCATAAGCCAAAAACTCAAGAGATCACCAAAGTCCTTCCTGTTCATCCCATGGGGACCATTAATATCTTTCCAGATCTAATAACAACTCAGTCAGTAATTGTTTAGATATTTAAGTCTGGATCAAATTGACAAATTGACTGATTTGCTCTCCATAGAACCCCCCTGCTAATTCAAACGAAAGACTAAATGAAATAGACTTACTGTGAAAAGAGCATAAGGGGCCTGTTCTGTTGCACATTGGAGATCTGTCAGCCAACAGTAGGTGTTTTGTTTCACCAGCTGTTCTTCAAACATGATTTTGCAGCATATTTAATCCTCAAGTTGTAAACTGATCTGTAGAGTATAGTGCAAATATTCCTCTTTTATGTATCCACAATTGGCATGTTACTACACAGATAAACTTACCAAGCGATTTGCCTTCATGCTTTTCTCCCTACAGAGGCGTGGGAGGTCCCATTTGAGGAGATATCGGACCTGCAGTGGGTGGGCAGCGGAGCTCAGGGCGCTGTCTTCCTCGGCAGACTGCACGGGCAAGAAGTAGCCGTGAAGAAAGTGCGTAACATCAAAGAGACAGATATCAAGCACCTGCGGAAGCTCAAACACCCCAACATCATCACCTTCAAGTGAGCAGAAAGGATCAGTTTGCTTACTGAATAATAAGAATGCTGAGGATGTCTCTAATATTAAATGTATGGTATGAATAATTTCCAATAGGAAAGTGTGTTTTTGAATCTTTGCCATATGAGTGAAAGCCTTATACGTTCTATGAGGGAGCTTGGCAGGAACTAAGATCCTTGAGTGGAACAAGTTGGCATTTATTTTCTGATAGATTTTGATTAAGATGCGTAAAGATGGTTGTAACATTTTCCAAACTCATGTAGGACCTTCAAATGACATTGTAACAAAAGCAAAACTATTTTAGTTCCAAGTTTTCATTAAAGGCATTGTAACAACACTTAACATATTCTCCATACTTCTTTACTCTTTCAGAGGTATATGTACCCAGGCTCCATGCTACTGCATCATCATGGAGTACTGTGCCCAAGGACAGCTGTATGAGGTGCTGAGAGCAGGCCGGAAGATCACTCCTTCCCTCCTCATGGACTGGGCCATGGGTATTGCTGGAGGGATGAACTATCTCCACCTCCACAAGATCATCCACAGAGACCTCAAGTCACCCAAGTGAGTTTTGCAGAATTGGTTAATATTCTCTGTTTAATTACAGCTCTGTGATTCAAATGTAAAGGGTAATGTCAGAGTAAAAAGGTCAATACAGCGTTACAGTACATACGTGCAGCATAGGTGGTTCTGAGCCACAAGAACCAGCTGCGTTGACATACGAAATATAAACACAGTGAAGAGACAAATCTCACATCATGTGAATTTGTTATTTACACATAATTTGCAGTGCCTTGTAAAAACTGTATAGGCTGCACTTGTTATGCCACAGTATTCTGGAAATGCTGCTTTAGAAACATATGAGTTGCCAAATGTTAAAACTATAATGAATGGGCTAATTTTTTAAATTCCCAGGCTTTAGCGGGTCATGACACTAGTCACATTTTAACAAAGCTTAAAGTGCTAATGCGTCATGTTACTGACTAACCAATTAAACCCTCTACAGCTTAATTAAAGGAGAAGTCAGCATTTCTAATCAAATATGTTTCCATTTTGTGTGGTGCATTGACAGAAAAAAAATCAGGATTTTTTGAGCAGTCTTGCCTGTCTGAACAAAGTGGCTAGGACTGATTCTGCACATCATGTCCTTTGTATGTTCAAGATCATGCACGTTGTTCTCTAAACATGAGAAAACAAGGGGAAGCGGGGATGGAGGGGAATCACAGACTTCCATTAATTTTGCCATTTTAAAACTCACAGCAGATAGATATAAACTTGACAAACCTAACGTTTCGTTGCAGCATGCTGATCACCTATGATGACGCAGTGAAGATCTCTGATTTCGGCACATCCAAGGAGCTCAGTGACAAGAGCACCAAGATGTCCTTTGCAGGGACTGTAGCCTGGATGGCTCCCGAGGTCATACGCAATGAACCCGTCTCAGAGAAAGTGGATATATGGTAGGTGTCATAATCCTTTCTTAAACTGTCCTCTTGCACTGGTGAACTTCGGAAATTTTCCCTCATGATTTGTTTTATCTGTCACTGAATCCACACAGAATCTCATTAGTGGCAGTCTACGACAGTACTACAGTACAGAGCGAAGGATCGTGTTCCCAGAAAATCTATTCAGTATTATGTACAATATCTCATTACATGAAATTCTATAGGGTCTCTGCCATGTCTGATGGGTTGCCCTATGTTGAGCCCCCCCCCCCCCACTACATTCTGTGCCTCTCTCTTTCTTCTATGCTACATCCCTCCATCAGTCTTGCTCTCCGTCCTGAAAGGAACGCTGGTTAATTTAATAATTGATTTGCCAGATGCTGCAGTGCTCAGGAGAGGCTGGAATAACCTTCCAAGCCTACGGACAGTTTGGCCCAGAGCCAGTGGTGCATTAGCAGAGAAGTGAAAATAAGATTAAAAAGCTTTTGATGTAGAAAGAAAGCAAAGCTTGGGTTTGTACTATACTGCTTTGTTTAAATTTATGTAAATCATTTGATAGTATTCCATACCACAAAAAAAACAACAAAAAAAAACAACCCAAAGCATTGGAGTAGTAGTATTCAAATTTGTTTCTTACCGACATATATGACATACATCTTGCTTTCTTTTGTTGGAACTATATTGAAATACACAGGTTTCTATGACATTAGTAAAATTTGGACATTTTGTAATTTTAGTGGATTTTAATTTGCTGTTTTCTTATTCAATTCAATTCAATTCAATTTTATTTGTATAGCGCATATTTACAACAACAAGTCATCTCATAGCGCTTCACAAAGGCAGAAACAGAAACACCCAACAATCCAAAACATCTGGATTCCCTATAAGCTTCAGCAGTCCCAAAGCAGTCCACAACAGTGGGAAGGAACCGAAAACCCCCACAGGGGGAAAAAAAACCTCCGACAGAACCAGGCTCAGGGAGGGACGGCCATCTGCCTCGACCGGTTGGGTGGATGTAGGATGAATTATACAATGTAGTTTACAGTTAAACAGGTTATTAGAATATGAAAATCTCCAGAAAAATGTGGAGTGTTGTTAAATCATTTTATAAATCTTGAGTTGTGTTACTAAATTATATGCTGTATCGAAACCCATTAATTGAAATCTGTCTCTTCTTTAGAAGAAAACTTTAAGCCAAGGGAAAATATGTGTAGTTGCTTGAACTCAAGTCCTTTTTTCTTATATGTGAATATCACGAATCATAAGGACACAGGCACTCTAAAAATACACATGTAAAGATAACATACCCTCAGTGCTACATATGATGTTATTGACACCTTGGATACTGTACATGGTCACCATGGCAACACAAGGAGTCAAGAGCAACAGACTTTTCTTAGTTACCTTCCCCAGGAGCCTGCTGTCTTGTTGGTATACATAGCAGATGAAGCCCACCAATGAAACACTGATCTATGCTGGAATAAAATCAGAATACTTTTTCACAACCTGCTGTGTTTTGTAGAGTTGTGCGTTATTGATCAGGACAAAGTGACCAAATGTCAGTAATATTAGTGAAACATACAATGTTAGTAAAACTTCCAGCAAATGCACTTAAAAGTGTAGGTTATTCGTGCTTTTACCAGAAAATTATTAATTTTTTTCATATCCAGCTGATTAAATAAACTTGAAAATGCTTCGGCTAAGCTACCAAAGACTCCTCATATGACATTAGCATAATAACTTCTTCTTCTTCTTTTTTTTTTTTTTTACAAAAAAGTACCCATTAGATGTAACAGATGCAGCAATTTCAAAAAGCCAGATTTCTTTGCCGAAAGGTAAAAGTGTGGCATTTCAGTTGTGCTGCCATTCATCTGGCCACTTCTTATTTTTATCTGTGTCTGAAAGAAAATGTGCCACATTTCTCCGCAGGTCTTTTGGTGTTGTGCTGTGGGAGATGTTGACAGGAGAGGTGCCCTACAAGGATGTGGACTCCTCTGCTATTATCTGGGGAGTCGGCAACAACAGTCTGCAGCTGCCTGTACCTGATAGCTGTCCAGACAGCTTCAAACTGCTCCTGAGGCAATGCTGGTGAGCAGGCGGGAGGGGAGAAGGAAATAACAGGAATCTTTTAAAGAATATGGTGAAGTTAAATGCTTTAAGAATGGAGAGATGGTAAAAGTTATCCATGGAAAGGGAGGAGAAAATAGAAAACCAGATATTTAAAGAAAAAAAAAGGGAGCTAAGAAAAACATTTATTTAATCTCTTTACAGGAACTGCAAACCCAGAAACAGACCCTCATTTCGACAGATCCTCCTGCATCTGGACATCGCCTCTGCAGATATATTATCTACCCCACAAGAAACTTACTTTCAGTCTCAGGTGAGGTTCCTTTATCATTCTGAACAGATCAAATGGGTGGTCTATCTCAGTGTTTTTCTGCAGACAGTGAGCTGCAGAGGAGGAAATATAACAAATAATAATATAACAAAAAATGTACTGCAATCACAGTAACTTTGGAAGATACTCATCTGATCAATCTCGGACTTCTGATGCATCATTTTAGCTTCACCTGAATACAACAAAGACTGCTCAGATGATTAATTATTTTAAGAAGGCACGTCTTGAACAAGAAGAACCAATAACCTCCTGAATGTACATATGGGTATTTCAGTATTGTTTTAAGATGTGTCTTAAAACATGTGAAGCCAGCCACGGGGATGACCCTAATTTAATTTGACATTATTTAGCAGTGTCAATTTAGATGTTACAGAGGAGATAGGAAAAAATGAAAGTAAAGTCACAAAAACACTGTTTATATGTAATTGTAGGATAATATAAGTAAGAGCCGTCATTTCTCAACTTACTGTCTCCCTTGTCAAATGAACAAATAGATGAACACTGGATGAAATACACATAACACATAGCTTTGTATGTCTCTCAGCAGCAACAGCCAGCATCACTAATAGTCAAGCCACTTCCATTTGTTTCCAGCCTGCTGCAGTAACTACTAGCAGTGCAGAGTGTGCAGCTGCACTGAGGTCCAGGCCTCTGGGGAGCTCACTAATAATAACTGTCCTTTCAATCACAACATATTGTTGTTGGTGCCTCAGTCTTTGTTCGTTGTGACATGTGAGTGCTGATTTGTGGTCAAAGAAAAAGAACCTTTCTCTACCTCCATTACATGAAAAGTGTGACTGAGAAGGAGGCTGTGCGTCTACCTGTGGCTGGCTGGGGGATGGAAGAACATGACAAATGTGTCAGACTTCCACAAGCAGCCAAGCAGATGAAGGTCAGGAAATTTAGAAAAGTAGTAATTGAGTGGAAGATGTGTCTCTGCTCAGCCATGCAGGACCATAAATCCATTTACAACTCAAGCATATATAATCATGAGACACACTTGTGCACACAAACACACAAAATAAATAGGATTTTATTTCATTTTAGCAGCAGTGCTCCCCCCCTCCAGTTCTGTCTCATGATGCAAACTGTAAACCTCTTTCCCTCTTTCCATTTATCCTTGATCCTTTACCCCCCCCCCGCAACCCTCCCCACCTTCTCTCCTCTCTGCCCCATAATGGATTTTTCTTGTGACGTTAGAAAGAAGTATTTGCTGCTGGAGTGTATTGATTGCTTTAATGGTAGGGAGCAGAGACCAAAGAGAGAGGAGAAAGAGGGGACTGGAGACACAGAAGAGTGTGCACAGAGTCCATTAGCTTAATAAGAAGAGCGTCTCTCATGCCCAGATAGATAGATATACACACAAGAGTCACATACACATGCATGTGCATGCACACTCTCATAAATCTGCCTTCCTTTGTCCTTTCATATGACAGGTATCAGATAACAGCTGCCATGCTCTTCTGTGTACGAGAAAATGCCCACGCTGCGTTTTTTAAATTTATTTATTTATGTATGTATTTATTTATTTATTCATTCGTGTTCATGTCATGTCAGTTCATGTTTAGTTTTTCTCTGTGTGTATTGATTATCATCTGACAGCTTAATAGGTTTTGTTTAAATGATAGAAAAAAGCCTTAGTTGCTCAGCAAATAGAGAGCTTCTTATTAAACGATTAAGGTGCAATGAACTCTCAGTACTGATATCATTGGATTGTAATATTAGGCAAATGAGCTTGAGTCTTACTTAATTATCTCAGTGGTACACACAGGAATGGCTGCATTTTCCAGGTGTACAAATTAGATTAACACAAGGGCTTAGAAAATGTGACTGGAAAAAGCTGCTGAAATATTACATTCAGAATATTTGGTGAAGCAGGTTCCTGTTTGGTGTCCTGTTGTATCTCCGCAGATATGACGGTCCCCAAATGATCTATTTTTTTTGGTGTTGTCTTTTAGAATAGGCTGCCAGTTTCTCAATCACTCTGGTGATCATACCGACTCTGCAGACAGCTTTTGCTATTTTTTAGTGATACACATGCGTATGCATTCCATAAGTAGTTGTAGCTATAGTTACATTTTCTAAAATATGTTTTATATGTTTATTGTTTTAGAAACTGTGCAAATTATTCTGCATTATGGCTTGAGATAATGCAGTGGTAATAGTAATATTATAATAAAAAAGAGGAAACCATTTGCATTTTAAAACTATATGAACCCTTTTTAAGACCAAGACATTTTCATCTTTAAAATTGTGAGATGAGCACAAGTTGTATTGTTGTACAATTGTTCTGATGGATGAGTTTTCTGTGTGCTGCCAGGCGGAATGGAGAGACGAGGTGAGGCACCACTTTGAGAAGATCAAGTCTGAGGGGACGTGTCTTCATAGGCTGGATGAGGAACTGATCAAACGACGCAGAGAAGAACTCAGGTTAGATATACAGAAAATAAACTCCAACATCAAATACCCACAATTTATACTAGACTAAATTTAATGCAAGATAGTTATATGGGCACAAAAAAAATTTAAAATGAATTGCATTTAAAAAATAATTTAGAATATGATAAAATAAGTGTCTCCTTGCACAGGGGAATCATTGTACAGCATAATGGCAGGGTGCAGCAGGGCTTTCTGTAGCTGTCCTTACTACAGCGAAGCTGAACTATTATTTATCTACAGTTGGTATGGTAGATAAATAATTCTTTTCAATTATAGCTGAATTTCTTCTACAATCCGTGATAATATCATGATAGCAGTTGAAGTAGAGAAATGTATCTGCATATTTACATCCTTCCTCTCCACACAGACATGCGCTGGACATCCGGGAGCACTATGAGAGGAAACTGGAGAGAGCCAACAATCTCTACATGGAACTCAATGCCATCATGCTACAGCTGGAGATCAAAGAGAAAGAGTTGCTTAAGTATGAAAATGGATTTTTAAATTTTTTTTTTGACATTCTATTGTAAATTAGCAGATGATAAAGTTTGAAACACAATATAGTGCCATAGGAGACCTCGGTTACTATATTGTGCTCATGTCAAAATTAGTCCCACTGTAAAATCAGCAAAGTAAAGCTTTAGCTTCTCAGTTGTCCTGAGCTAATAGGTTTTTATCCATCAACACTGGTTAAGTAGTGTATTTGTAATGAAAGAGCATGGAAAGGTTCATCTGAAATGTGAAGTGAATGGCCATTACATGTAGTCATACAGGGCTATTGCATGTAACAAAGTGCTCTCTTATGCCATGCTGAGAATCAATTGACAGCCATTAAACGAGTATCGGCTTTGTGTTTAAACATCAGGAGGGAGCAGTCGCTGGACAAGAAGTACCCAGGCTGTTTCAAGCATCACAGCTCCAGACAGTCAGCCTCTTCCAACTCGATGGAGAAACTCATGAAGAAACGCAACGTACCTCAGAAACTTTCCTCACACAGCAAGAGGTGAGAGGGCAAGGAAGAAGTTATTCACATTTACAGCATTTATATGTGGATGGACAGTTGACTCCACCTGCAGATTAATTGTACACCACACAGAGTAGCCTACAAGAAACTGAGCTGGTTTCAAGGTCAACTCAAGTTGTCAGACAACATTAACTTAAATATGATTCTGTACCATGTCCAGTGTGTGTCATAGGTGTCCCCAAAGTTTGATTGTGACATGATTCTCTCCTGCTGTCTTGAGCTGTATCATCACATTGTGTGATCAGCTTTCCAGGCTTTTGTTCCTGTACAAGCTTTGTTTTCAGTGCATCACATACAGTTCACACAGAACATCCTCATCAAAGCTTCTTTTCATACTTCACATACTGAACATCAGTCATAAGATCTACCTGACCCATATGGCCTTTTCTTATATGCATTTGTCATCAGTCTGCTTTAATAATGTGGTTTTCATGCTCCTAAATAATTGCCATCATTATATTTAACTTTTATGCTTGAATATTTTAGCATATTGTAATACATGTATGTAATACATAGAGAAAATGGCCCGCTTGGAAATGTTCCCTAATTATAATTTCTGACAATGTGCATTCCGATGTCATCGACCTCCACTGTTGTGCAGAAACAATCAGAGAAACAGCACTGAGACACTATTGCACTAGGAGACATGTCTCTTCTTCACATGTAAGGGAAGGGTAGTTCAGCTTAAATCTGTTCCTGCTGCTGTAAGTAATCAATAAATGAAACCTACAGCTTAAACAAATACTCCAGTTACTCTTGTTTGAGTACAAATCGCATTTCCCAGCTACAGAAGTAGATTATTTATCTTTTAAAAGAAAAAAGAAAAAAAAGACAGTAAGAAACCTGGACCAGTACCAAAATACAGAATATCAATACTCCACTACTGTAGCTTTTATGGTGAAGAAATTTAAGTGATAAATTATTAAGTTATCAAACAATTAATGCATGTCAAACAATTTAAAAAATATATATTATTCTTAAGTCTGTCTCTTACCCTCCCAGGCCAGACTTACTAAAGTCAGAGGTCATCCTCCCTAAGCTGGACTCATCTGTGACCCAGGTCACAATTCCCAACAAGGGCTCAACCTCCCCTGGCCGCTCACGCCGAGGAAAACCTCGCTACAGGAAGGCTGGCAAAGGCAGCAGTGGGGACCTGGCTCAGCTGAAAGCCACTCTGTCTTCATCTTTAGCAATGGTCAATGCCACCTCATCCGTCCCCAGCAGCAAACACCATCTAGACCCCAGTGCAGCCCTCAGGGGCCTGCAGCATGACCTGCTGCTCAAGAAAATGTCCTCGTCCAGCCCCGACCTCATTTCAACCACCCTGGAGGCTGAAGGCCGGAGGAAGGGGCAGTTGAGGCAGGGACTCGACAGAGCGGGCAGTCAGAGCGCCTCAGCTGGGCTGGGAGAGAGCAGAAGGACTGGAGGGCCAGATGAGGGGCCCGACGTGGGCGTAGGGGCTGATGACCTAGCAGAAACACCTCCACGCAGCGACACACCCAGTGAAGACGCAGCATCTATTCCGTTCTCTAGCAGTCCTGACTCACCGTGTGGCAGAGGAGCAGCAGCAGGAAGGGCGTCTGTTCTCGGGAACCCTCGTGTCCCCCACGAGGGCGAGGAGAAGGAGGACGGGGCAGTGATCACTCGCTCACCCAGGAGTCAACGCCTCACACCTGCAGCACTGCTCTACAGGGCAGCAGTCACCCGCAGTCAGGTGAGGCGCCAACAGCGCTCACTGTTCTCATGTGACCCAGTTTCACAAAATCACTTTGACTTTAAAGTTAAAAGGGAGCAAAGATTAATTAGCAGGGAGATGCTTTGGGGAAATCAAGCCACTTTGATTTCATTTGTTGCTACATTTGATAACAAGTGGGTTCAAATTCACAAATCGACACCAGTACAAACAAGATCCAAAATGTTTCCAGATAATGATATCGTTGTTTTACTGATCAAGTCCAGAAGTCAAAACCTCTTGGTCTTTAACCTGCTGAATATTAACACCTTCCCCCTATGAGGTAAAAGTGACTTTTACAGATGCCATGCTCAGTGTTCCCAGTGGTAAATATGTGTATGTAGCAAAGGACGTTCCAAAACTTCAAACTTCTGAATCTCAGGAATCTTGGCAGGTATAAGTCAAACTATTATACGCTGAAACATAACTACTTTTAATTTCTTCCACAGAGACGTGGAGTGTCGTCAGAAGAAGAGGAAGGAGAAGTGGACAGTGAAGTGGAGCTGCCAAGGAGACGGTAAGAATTAAATAAATCAAATGTTTTCATTTAAAAGTTTTTTTAGCATAATAATATTCAACATCATGTTGTTAAATGCGGAAAGACACATCGTAAGTGAACTAAGCAGTTAATGCCATGGCTGAGCATTCCCACTTTGACACTGTAGCGTACCAATGTCATTCTCAAAAAGACAGATTTAGACCTTCAGGGTTTCGTACGTAACAAACCTAAAGAATCAACCTTTTCCACTTGCAGGATGGGACTTTGTGTTACATTTTGCTTCTTCAGAATCAGGTCAAAGGTGTCTAGCGCAAGTCCTACAATATGACAGCTTACCATTTAATAGTGTAGATTAATATTACAGTGTTTGAGGTGAGATGGTTTGCTCAAGCAGCAATAAGTGGAGGGAGGTGGAAGGAGAAAGAGGCAGGAACTTCATAGATCTTCAAATTCTACAGGAACCAACAATGTAAAGTTATGTCTCAGCCATTTTAATTCTTGAGGGGATTATTTTCACTGAAAACACTACTAAATATGCAACTTTAACACTCAGAGACAGGCTTTTAGGGGTTTAAAAGGCACTTTTACACTAATTGTATTTACAATTTCACTTCCACATCCACACAAGACCGTTAAATGCTGATCTGCCCAACACAAATCCAGAATTATATTTTAAAGTCCACACACAACCAGTTTATCTGATTCAGCCTCTGGATTGTGTGGGCGCACATACACTGACATGTCTTCCACTTTCCTCTCTCACCTCATGCATTCCTCAGGACAGCTGCATCCATTTTCAGCCTGAGCAGAGAGTTAATCAGGCACAATAACTTAAAAAACACCTGCACTGCATCTTCATTCCTTATTAATGACAACACAAGAAATCAGCATTCTTCAAAGTTTTATTCTAAGAGTCAGGGTTGAGTAGCAACGGATTACATGTAGTCTCCATTACATATTCCAAATATAAAAAAAGTAAGTAACTATAATGCATTTGAGACAATGTGCAATTACATTATAGTTACATGGTAAAGAATTAATTGATTACATTTTTATTTTTTTCTTTGAAGTATAGTTGAAAAATTGAGAAACAATGAACCCATGAAAAGTGTGTTTGACACAGTTTCTTTGACAAGTGCTCCACTTTGTGACGGGTAAAAAAAACAATGATGTTGAGTCCTGATTGAAGCACCAGCAGTTTGTCCCAAATTGCCTTCCAACCTTGTCAATACCACCTTTGATTAAAAAACAGTAACAACAAAAACTTAGACTAAAGAAACAACACTGAACATTGTAGAATACACACTGTACACCACTTGGACCAACTGTAAATGCTGAATACGTGTAATGCATTTATTTTTGCATTAGAAATGTTTTGAGGTGTTTAAAGAGAGAGAAAAAAAAGATTATATGTGAAACTCAAACTCAAAATCTTTTGATGTTACATACATTTCCTTAGTGTCATATTTTCAATATTTGATTTTATTCTGAAGTATTCAGATTAGATTGCTGTGCCTCAGTGTCCATGTCATGTTTCAGCCTTCTTTTTCCACACGTTATTTTTAGTGTCTTACTTATAAAATCTCATGAATACACCTACTCTCTCCTATTCTACGCACAATCAGGCGACCTGTGAGCATCACCAAATGCCAGTCCCTGTCGACCTTTAGCTCAGAGAATTTATCTGTCTCGGACGGTGAGGAGGGAAATACTACTGACCACTCCCACAGCGGCACACCTGACGTGGTCAGCACCAACACCGATGAGCGTCTGGACGACAAGAGCGATGACCTGCTGTCTCAGGGCTCAGAGATTCCTGCCGACCCGTCTGACCCAACCCAACTAGGCTCTGATGGGCTGTCTGAAAAGGAAGCTATTCTGCAACAAGTCAAAACGCAGCTCGCTTCAAATGACCATAATTATGAGGTAGGCAACAAATAAACAGTGGATGCATAAATATAAATATGCTGCATAAATATATAGTGTAGAGACGTGCCACTATCGCTAACAATACAATCAAATATCTACTTCTGTTTGATTCTAAGATACATGACATGGCAAGCAAATAGTACATATGCCATTCAATAAGCTGTTCTCTAACTCTGGTAATTCATGCTTTTCCTCAAAACCAGGGCCTGTATGATGACTCGGACTGTGACAGTGCAGAGCTGGATCATTCATGCAGTGCAGAGCCCAGCCAACCTCCAACCAGCTGGTGAAAACCTTACAACTGAACCCACTCAAACACCCACAGATCTGGCCTTTCAATACCTCTTTCACTTTTACAGACCTTAGAAAACCCCAAGTCATGATCAGGGACACTGCGGAGAGGCAGGAAATAAAGACCAATGTTTTCAAAAACCTGATTTCCTGGGAAGACAGAAAATCCCATTTATTTTCAGACAAATACATCACAGGGATGTGAAACTGAATTGTGGCACTCGCTGAGCTGACAGAGCCACGGCCCCCTGTGTGTTCTCTCCATAGCAAGATCAGCTTTGCAAAAACACATCGAAAGACACCTCAGCAACAGAGCCTCAGTCATAGAGGCCAAAAACCAGACTGTCCAGTAACATTTCTCATCACCATCCACATTCATTTCTTAATTTTTATCTCCATCATGAAAGTATGTGTTATGTTATTTCATATGGTGTCATATGAAAACATGAACTTCCTTCAGGGCTTCTGTAACATTTGAAAGTTTTAACTGTCTGGAACAGCCACTGATGTTGCTCCTTGCACTTAATTTATAAAATGTACCGATTTCCCCGTAGTTGTTGTGTCATAATACATTTCCTGTCAAAACGTTATGCACTATTTAATTTATTATTATTTTACAATGAATTCATTTTTAAAACAATGTTTACATCTCATTTGTTTAAAAAAAAACAAAAAACAACTTTATATTTGCGTCATGAATTCCGTTTCCATTTTCTACTCCTGTGTTTTAATATTAATGTAAATATGTGATGTTGTAAAATGAACAAATTTTTAAAAAGGGAGATTGTATAATTTAAGGTGCTGATGTTTCTAATTAGGTGGCACTATTCTATTTGAACCTCAAGAAGTTTATGGTAGTAGAATGTACTGTAGCTGCTGTTCATGTCTGAGCATCAAAACACAGATAAAACAAAAAAAAGAGAGAAGCAACATGTGAACAAAGAACAAGCAAAATGTCTGCTATGGTTCCATAGTTGGGTTCATTTGGGGCAGACGGGCTTTTTTTTGTTTTTGTTTTTTTTTTACTTCGCAGTGTTTTACTGTATTAAAACGCAATACCAATTTGAAAATCCCTCTGAGAATTTGGGGGTGTATATATCATCAAGAAAGCACTGTTACTGCTGGTGACTCAAATCAAAATGAAATATTAGATCCATCCATAGAGGAAGTGCAACAACAGAAAGACTGCAGGCAGACATTTAAATACTGCAGTTTAATGACTGAAGGCATGTGTATGGCAGGGACACAAAGCATCGCCTGATGTGGTGAGTTTAGATCATTTTAGGAAATGAAACCTACATGTCCCCTTTTGCAAACACCCCTTTGAGTCTACATTGTGGATTCTAGCTTTGTTTTAGTGAATTAGATCACAGAGCAGTCACTGAATTTTTTCTGGCAAAAATATTACAAAAAAAAAAATTCATCTTTGGCTTTCTCAATGTAAAAACCTAAAAATTTTGGACCTCAACTTGGAAGATTATCCAACTTGTAAAATCAGTGTATGCTTAAAAATCTGGCCTTTGTCATTATGATTTGGCCATTTTTACCTATTCAACCTGAACTCAGTGAAGCTTTACAAGTTCATAACATCATTCTTTACTTTGCATAAACTTACGCTAACATTGTCCTCACCAGCTAAAATCTTGGCCATCTGGTGGTCATTTTTCACGTACGAGCAAGGGCTCCTTCATAACAAACTATGTGGTACATAAAATTCTGGTGTCGATGCATTTATGTCGCTTGAGAGGCCTTCTTAATGCGCATGTGCTTCAATCTGACTGTACAACAGCACATTACATCCTGTTCCAATCATCTCTGACTGATCAGGTCACACTCAATAAGCTAGAAATGGCAGCTTGTTTTGCTTTTTAAATCAGGAATTATGTTTTAAAGTTTACATTTGTAGAGCATTTTTAAACTGATTGTGTCCCCAAGATTTAAAGCTAGAAATCCTCCAGCAGGATAAAATGTTGCCAAAAAGCAAAACTACTGCCCTCTAGTGTCTCGATCAAGGAGGTACTTGTGTTTCCCATGAAGCTGAATGAAACGACCCCATATGGACTGAAATGTTTGCTTTTTATACTGCATTATTGTAACTGTACAATAAATATATTTAAGAAACAATTTAAAATAAAATCGAACTTGTAAAATCTCAACTTGTGTCTTCAATACATCTGAGACGGTGACAAAATTCTCAAGATAGTTTTGTGGTTTGAGCATTTCACATCTTTATTTCTTTATTTTTTTAAACAATGTTGTGGCACCCAGGTCTACAGTCTCAAAAAACGTGCACAAAAGTTTTTTGTTTTTTTTAAACTTTCCTGCAAATAAAAAATAAAATAAATTCTGACTTGAGCAAAGCAAAGAGCAGGAAACTAGTGTTAACTCACAACCCTTTCTTTGTCTAGTTCCAGAGCATCAAAGATTTCAGTTCTCAGCCTCATCACATTTAATAGACAGATCAGTCAGTGTCCAGGAGTTAATCCCCCTTTGGTAGTTAAAAAAAAATATTTCCTCCATTTAAAACAAATATTCCAACTTTTTTTTTCTTTTCTTTTTTTTTTAGTATATATCAGTCTTTACAAAAAAAGCGAGGACAACCCTCTACTTCCAATCCCTTGAGCCGAGCCCAAACCCCAAAAACCTCCCATCCCAGCAAAATATCGACACATGATCTCAGAACTGGGAGAAGGGGAAAACAGGAATGACATGTAGAGGGAAGGAAAAAGTGACATGCGTAATAAAACACATCTTAAATTATCTGAATAAATTCATCTGAGTGTTAGAACATTTGTCATCATAACCAAATATAATCCGGTGACAGTGCATGTACAGCTACGTATTCTCGTCAGTGACACAAGTGTAATCCATGTTACAAGCACTTTAATTGAAAAGGTGACAAAGGGGGAGGATGTTGTATATACTAAAAGCAAGGAAGTGTGGACATGAAATGGACTGACTGGTGGAACTGGGAGAGAGAGAAAGAGGGAGAGAAAAAAAAAAGGGTGGGGGGGCATATATAAACACAGAATAAAACAGTCACTCTATTCTTATTTTTGATACTTTTTTTTTGCCTTTTTTTGTCTTTTCCTTTTTAAAGAAAAAAAACGACTGTACAGAACTAAATCTATATGCCTATTCAGAGTTTTCCAACTCTACACCTCTGTGATGGCAAAGAAAGAAAAGGGAAGAGAGCGAGAGACCCGTCAAAAAAAGAAAAAGGGGGGAAAAAAACAAATTCTAATCACAAATCATTAAAACCTCCAACTTGATTCCAAAAAGGGAATTAAAAACCTAATTGTTTGCTTCTTTTGACTAAAACCAAAACGAAAAAAATAAATAATGAGCTCAGCGGATCAAATCAGTGGCAGTTGACATGATTTCAAATGAGGAAGAGGCGGTATAATATATAAACTCTTAAGTTGGATAGTTGCATTGACTGCTTTATGGTAGCCGATGATATAAAAGTGAGATTTAGTGCAGATGCAGTGTCTTATCAGTTGGCTGCCAGTCCTGTGGCCTCAGAGGAAAGCCTGGAGAAACAGACAGAGAGACACCCAGAGAGCAGGGAGGGAGAGAGAGTAAGGCATGCAATCAGACAGACAAGATAAACAACAATATCATTTACTGTACATTACATCATTAGAATAAAATTCTCTATGCCGAGATCATCTGGATGTATAAACCAGAAAAATTATGCTCTCATATAGAAACAAACAGATGTCCAGTTTGGGTGCTCCAGTTGTAAACAATAAATGTTCAAAGTCAGATCTTAAACTGATATTTATTAGTGTGGCAATGGAGCTCTGTTAAAGAAATAGTCAAGAGTTAGATGAGAAGATCCAAACTACACTCATGTTTATAGGGAACTATGAAGCTCAGCTTTGTGACAACAACGCAAACAGGAGGAAACAGCAAGCATCGCTCTCTCCTACGCCGGGTGCAAGTAACAATTAGCTTAATTTATCATCAAGTATTCTAATTTATCGATCTGCCGAGGCTTTTCTTGATAAACTGTTTTGAGTATAAAATGTTACACAATAATAAAAAGTGCCATTTATAAAGTCCTAAAGCCCAATGTGATGCCTGCTAATGTCTAGTTAGATATACCATAAAGTTTCATCAGTGAATATTTGTCTATATATATATATATATTTTATTATTGTTAAAGACCCAAGCAATTAAATTTCTGTAAATAAATAGTCATGGCAGCTCTAATCCAAAGATAAGAGATATGTTGATACTTTAAGTTGTACCAAAAAAATGTTTAAAGAAAAAAAATCACAATGTACTATGGGAAACCATGTGGTAGAATATTTCTTAGCAGGGAGAACTAACTTCCTGCTGTCTGTGCTGGTTGCCTGGCAACTGGTATGCAGATTTTGGTTATCAATGAACTGAGCCAGGCTAGCTGCCCCCATTTCCAACGTTTAGGGAAAGCTAAGCTAAGGAGCTGCTGGCTGTAGCTTCATATTAAACAGGCAGATATGAGATCTTCTCATTTAGCTCTTTCCAAGAAGGCGAATACACATACTTTGCAATACGTCTGGTTATTCCTTTAATGGTTTGTTAATGAAGCCATGTAAAGCTGAAGCACATGGATGTTTTTGTATTTTTAATTTACATGACCTAATGTGTGATTTGGTGGTTTTCATACCTGAGGGCAGATTTACTTTGAATTAAAATTACAACTATTTTTTACATAAGCAAATAAAAACAAAAAAGTCATCATGATACACTCCAATATGATAACTAACAACAGTCACTTAAAATTCACTAGAAGAAAACTACTCCCATAAATACAATGTGACATCTTAAGGAGAGCCGCTACCTGAGCAGAGCTTACACAAAGAGAGAAATGCTTCGGGAAATCAGTGAAATAATCCCTGCCCATGCTAAGTCAAAGTCATTTAAAAATATAATGCACTCAACATGTCATTTCTTTAGGAGACAGGTGAAATCAAGCTACAGATATCTATTTTATAAATATGGCATCAACCATCTTTCTGGCTTTATAACAAGGGGCTGTTTTCTGTAGTAAGCGTGGCATGGCACAGCCAGATACAAAAGCAAGTGCAGGTACAGACAACAAAGAGCATTGTCAGTACTTCAGTAGTAGATGACTTATGTTTCCTTCATTAGTAAGGGGAGAGCCTTCGCCTTTTAGACTTGGAGCCCAGCTCTGGGGCGATTTTGGGCTCAGTGGGAATTGGGTGAGCGGGGTTACTGGCCCCGCTGACAACATGGAGGGCCAGGAGAGGGAGGGGCTTGAGACTGAGGAGACTTGACACACAGGCAGGAGAGCTGGGGAGCAGGGAATCAGTGGAGGAGGAAGAGGAGGAGGAAGAGGAGGGAGGAGGCGGCCCTGGAGCCAACAAGGATAGAGGGATGGAGGCTGTGGGGGGCACCACACAGGAGGAAGAGGAGGAGGAGGAAGAAGAGAAGGAGGAGGTAGCAGCAGAGGAGGTGGTGGTAGTAGTAGTAGTAGTAGTGGTAGTAGTAGTAGTAGTAGAGGTGGAGGGAGGGCACAGGCTGGTCTGTTCAGGGTTCAAGGAGGAGGAGGAGGGAGGAGGTTTAGAGGACTCTACACTGTAGAAAGAGAGACAAGGAGAGAGGGACAACACAGTCGGGATGGATCACAGGGCAGGCTGGTGAGCAATGGGTGGGCAGGGGTTAGGGGCAGGAGGAGGGATGGGGGTGGGATGTGGGGGGGGGAATCACTAAGCGATGTGACCAAAACAGAAGACAACAAGCTTCATTAGAAGTTAACGTATAGATTCAAAATCAAAGAGAATAAAAAAAGAATCACATCTGTAGCGATGGATTGATGTGGGCGTAAAAGGGCAGAAACAGGGAATCAACACAAGCGCAGACTGACACAGAGCTAGCAAACACCAGCGTGACAGGTTCAATAACCACATTAACTTAATCCTTTGGATCTGCACACAAATGCAAACTATAAACGTTGATGCAGCAGGTAGATGAGGTATTCATTTGCATGACGTCAGGTACATCAAATATTTTACCTTACGCACACAAATAATTTGGCTTAAATTGAAACTAAATATAACAGTTCTGATTGTCTGAAGCCACTGACTAAATCAATCATCTGTTTGGAGTTAATGCACTTTTCTTGATCATCTCACCTGGCGTTGATGAGGTACTCCGCCAGACTGATGCTGGCAGGTGAGCCTGTGATGGTGACCTGGCGGTCGGTCGATCCATCCACTGGATTTGCAATCTTGATCTGGGCGCCCGACATTTGCCTGATCTCGTTGATCTTGGCTCCCTGGCGGCCGATGATGCACCCAATAAGCTGTGGTGGAGCAGAGCAGGAAAGTTAACAGATTGAAATCCTCAACAGACATGAATGTAACAAACATGTACAACTCATAAATAATCAATCACATTAAGCACACAAAGGGGTCATGCACTAATTTGTGCTTTTTTTCCCCAGGTCATGTATGTCCTTGTCAATCAGCATAAGTTTCAACAATTTCCCTGAGGTGTTTACCAAATGGATCAATAAAGTTGTATCTATAAGTAAAATAAAAAGAGAACTCCACAGATTTAGTATTGGGCTCATGTAATACTGTCAGTTTCAGGATGGTGATGGTGAAAATAAAAATAAAAAGATCTGTTCAGCATAAGCAAAGATACTTTTTTTTCTCCCAATCCCACGGATTCTTCCTTCTTGTAGCAGCTACTAGAGCCTCCAGCAGTGATGAGCAGGCTACAGAGGTCTGGTAAGCGTACTGCTTTACAACTCCTCACCCCAAGATTCCTCGCCCCCCTACTTTCACTCTTGTAGTCTTCAAAGTCAACTGATACTGCTTTAAGTGACATCACTTGCAGCAATCATAATTCACACAGCTCACTCTGGAGCCAGGAAAGGCTACATTGGCCTTTTTTCACATATATAGCAGTACTCTGTGAAAGCTGAACAGATTTTCCTGTGCAAATCCATGGAGTTCCCCTTTAACATACTACTAATAGGCTAAGTGTATGAGTTAACATGTCTAAACTTTGATAAAAACAGACTCCTTGAAAGACTTACATCATTTGGAATGGTCATCTCATGGGAACTGGTCTGAGCAGAGGCATCTATCCCTGACAGAGAAAATCACAAAACGCCTTAAATGAGCATGAAAACTAACAATTACTCCTTCAAAAGCAAAGTTACTGGTATGAATAGACCTCAAACACAAACAGGAAAGTGTCAATATTTTTAAGCTGCAGATAAGATTTGTGATCAGGTCAAATTATCACGTCGTATGATTTATATATATATACATATATATATATATATATATATATACACATATCACACACACAATATACGCATGTTTATAGTGTTTCACCAACTCCAAGCCAGCATGCAGTTGTTTCACCACAAAAGGTAATATGTACTTTTTCATATCTGCTAAAAACATACTGCATTTCATTATGTGCAGTGTTTCTAATATTCTAAAAATAAATAAATAAATAAAAATGGGCATTTATATATGCAAATATATTAAATGCAGCTCTCAATAAAATGCAGTCCAGCACAGAAAAACATGCAGGGGTTTCCATTTTCTGGCCATTCAGTGTACATTAAAAGACAAAATGTTTCAAATATGTGTGTGGTTATTCACACACTCTTTTCCACACTAAAAAAAACACACATTGTTTCAGGAAAAAAAAAAAATGAATTTGAGAAAGCCCACATATTTTCTACAGGTATTGGAGATTTTATGTCCTTTTTGAACTGAGTGTGTGTGTGATCACTATCGCCAGGAGTAAACGTTCATCCTTCAGTTGTTAACTACCTCCAGTTTGCAGTACATGCTGTGTCAATGGGTTGTTTTCTCCCCTCTGTTTTCTGTGATTTTGTGTGTTTGGTCCAAAAAAAACTAAAAACATGGGAATTTTGAGTGTGACCAGGTAAAACGTTGCATTGACAGCCAGTGGGCCTTATTGTCTTGCATACCAGTGAATCCCTGGTTGCTTGGTGCAATGGGGAAGGGGCTCTGCTGCATAGCCAGCTGGTGAAGCTTGGTGAGCTGTGGAGAGATAGCAGCAGAGGAAGACTGTGAGAGTGAGAGAGGAGGCAGGGAGAGAAATGGAGGAAATGGGGAAACACAGGAAGAGGGAAGAACAGAACAAAAATCACAGTCAGTACAGACAGGTACACGTAGAACCTCCAAAAAAAGGTTTCACACACGTCACTCGATTCTTCTCTTAACCTTTCACAAAGCTCTACATGGATCACTGGTGTCTGATAATCAGTGTGTTTTATGACTTGTCTATGTGGGGTACCCCATAGGTATTCCTCCAGGCTGCATCTCTTGGTAAAGCTTTCTTGCAGTCTTCGGGGTCAGGGCAAAGTCACAATACACAAGGGAAGGGGGGTCTCAATATGCAGGTGATTTCCTTACCAACACCAACACAAGACCTGAACATAAACTGACAGTCTCAACTTAGAATCACATTTTACCAGAATCACCACTATAGCTGGAAATTAACACAACCCTCAAAACCCCAAGCAGTTCCTAGGCATTTATTTTTGCTCCTGTTAAATTTTCACCTACTGTGGGATCATTTTTCACTGTCATATAAGTCCTGTATATTTATGGAAACATAGTCACCATTGCTAGAAGCAGACAGAACTCCAAAATGTCTTCTGTACAGTGGGACACAGTTATAATGTCCTATGAAAAATGATACTTGAATTTCGGAATCAATATGCGCAACAATTTTCAAGTGTCCACAGATGTTACCACAAGTGGAAAAAATAGTAACTGTGCATTATCAGTTTTACAACTTGCATTTTTAATTTGTTTTCACATTCTCTTATCTGCTCTGAGTAAACACAGCCTGCAGTTCAGCCCAAATCAGCCGAAAGTCCTTGAATTTTTGTCATGTGACTGTTAGTTTCAGCTTACTCCTTAGTAGCTTCATGGAGTGCCTAGGAATGCAGATTTTTTTGACTCTAATTAGAACAATATAATTTTGACACATTTTTCAAATAACACATGTATAATGAAATGTATTCAAAGAAATGTTCCGATTTTAAGTTGCTTTTTTTCATAATTTCTAGCTCTGATCGATGCAACTTTTGATAATTTTTTAAAGACATTCCTTTCAAACTCGCCGACAGGTTTTTGGGATTCAGAGGGTTAAGGAAGAGACTTTGTGTTTATGCATCACTGTTATAAAGACAGTTTGGTTTTAATACACAAAATCTGTTGTAAGCAATGACACACCAATTACATGAATATAATCAAGCTGCTTAAGGGCTTTAGAAAAATAAAACTATTTTGAAACTGAACTATAAATGGTACCATTATATATTTTGTCTCTGACTGACACTTTCCTGCTCTACAAATATTAACTGACTAATAATTTACAGTCTATCACATCCAGTGCTCCTAATGGAACTCATTAAAAAAAAAGAGAGAGAAAGATTAATTGAATCAAGCGACAAGTGGCCAGAGAACAAAATAGTAATGAAAGGGGGAAAAAAGAGAACAATATGTTTATCTAGGACAGACTAATGAACAAGACATGTGAGACAAGACAGCACAAAAGGGAAAACAGAAAAGAGTGAGCAGCAGGAACAGATTATTATTCATGGAACAGTGGAGAATCTGGACAAACACAAACAACAAATGTCAGCTTAATTAATAACTGACAGCCAGTCAACGCATGAACTATACAAATATGGCGTATTGTAAAAGTGCTGCTCACTAAAAAAGTCTGATGAGTAGGTCAAAAGGCAGCAAAAAAAAGGGAAAAAAATCAGGGGCAAGTTTAGCTACAGTTACAGACGAAACGTGGTGTGGGCAGGTGGGCGGCTACACAATTTGGGAGAAGACAGTTGTAATTATGGGTGGGAATGGTGGGGGTCATGTAAAAATATCTACTGAACTTACATCTGGCTGTGGAATCGCGTGCTGTCCTTGTACGGCATATGCCTGAAACAAATGAAAACAAAGCTTTCATAGGCCTCATAGCTGATGTTGTTGGGTGACTTCCGTTTCCAGCTACATCACTCTTGATAAACAAGAAACTCTTCAAGGCTCCAACAGACCAAAGCCTTATCTGAACTAACGCTATCAAAGAATATCAACAAGTATGTCTTGTCCAAAGTCTCCACATTTCTGGGAAAAGAGAAATCCTTAGAGACATTATAGTGGAAAAACCAGAGAAAGAGATTATTTTTCCTTCAAAGAATTAAAAAAAAAAAAAGTATTTAGTAAGATATAACAATGTTAGGTCAACAAGCACCAGGAAGCGTTTTGGTTCAGACCAACATTAGTGGAAAATAGGCCACCTCACTTTTGAAAATGATTGTGTGAAACAATGAAACTCTGGGGAATCATACAAAGACAAGGCCCTTTAAAAAAGTGCCCCTAGGCCAAATCTTTTCTGATCACAGTACTGAAGTGGTTTCAAACAATTAGCACAGGCAGCGCTTGTTTCAACAGTTTTCTGAAGTGAAATACCTTCCACATATGCTATGTATTCAAACAGATGATAGGGATCCTCCCCAGTCATAATCCAGTATTCAGACCGTCTTTTATTATCTTATTTTGAGTTAAGTTGCCTTTCATGATGTATCAAGATTTCCAAGTATATAAGATGCATCATCAAATATGCATCTCATAGTGATACAAATCCAAAATGACACTTGACAATCTGATAACAAATGGACCCCAAAACAAATCTTGCATCACTCTGAAGTGTCATATGTACCTGTCCGCCTGCAAAGATGACAGGTGATCCTGAAGGCTTGGGTCGGTAGGGGATAGTGACCCCCTTAGGGGGAGACTGTACGGGAGAGAAAGTATGTGTGAATACCCATGTTATCATATTAGCAGAGCAGTTCTGCCTTTCATAGGTAGTGTGAAAGACAAAGGATATCTTCAGTATAGTAGTTGGTATATTTACTATAATGTTTTTAAACAATATCAATACAATATATCAGTCACCTAAAGAGATCCCCTGTCTGAACCTAACACACAGCAGCCAAAAGCTCAGACATCACCAAATCTCACATCATTAGGATACAGGTCAACAACTGCCACTTCATTGGCTGTCTGATTCTCATTTACTGCTTTCCACTTACCTCAAGCATGACCACACAGATCTGCTTTACACACTCAATTATTGACTGGGGAGTGCCAGCAATGGTGATGGCCCGCTCCGTGGAATTGGGGAGCATGTCTCCTGCCACTTGTACCTGAGCACCGGTTGACTGGAACGAACAAATGGAGGGAAATTAGATAAGAAATCAAGAACGGTTTCATATCAATATTGTTCTTTTATAACTGATTTAGGTTAGAAGTTTGAGAATCAACTAAAGTTGAAAGTTATACAGTTCACATTGTTTTGTTTTTTTGTTATTGCTTTTTACATTACATGCTGTTCACTACGCATACCTCTCGAATTTCCTTGATCTTGCAGCCACCTTTCCCAATGAGGGACCCACACTGGCTGGCAGGCACCACAATGCGTAGGGTCACTGGGGGCTTGCTGGTAGCTGTGCTGTTTGTCATTGAACTGCTTATATCCTGGCAAAAATACAAAGACTTAAGTTAATTTAGTTCATGTTCAGGCTGGTCACTGCTGAACTGCAAATCCATTAGTCAGCATAAACTGAAACCCACCTCTTCCAACTTTTCAATGATCATGGAGAATGCTTTAAAGATGGCAGTGGTTGGACCTGCCAAAGTAATGATTCTCTCAGGACAATTGCCCTCAGAAATGTTGATTCGAGCCCCACTCTACAGGCACAGAGAAAACCAAGGAATCAAAAGAGGCATTCTGAGGCCTTCTGATGGAACGACAAACTGAGCAAATCTACCAACTGTGGCCCATTACATACTCTTGTGCAGTATCAACATTACAAAAATGGCTATAACAGACTCACCTCTTCTCTCATCTTCTTCACAGATTCACCTTTCTATTAGCATAGAGATCATCACATTTATTAGTATTTACAACAGACAAACCTTCAAAGAATTACAACCTAAATTTTAAACATATTAAACAGAAGCTTACCTTCCCAATAATGCTACCGACCTCCTAAAATAAGAAAAAGATAAAATTGCTTTAGCTTGATTAATGATTTTTTAAAAGTCTGCCATTTTGCTCATCCACAATTTTTATGGTTATTAGTGGTTATCAATCACAACAAGGAGGTTCCCATTGATTTGATCAAAACAGGTCAAACATCACTGGGAATATTTTAAGTGGTGGTCTTTAAACTGATTGCAGGCTGATCCAACACTAATTACTCCACTCTCTAATGCAGGCAGTTTTTCTTTCTGTCTCCCACACAGACTCATGATGGTGCTGTTGACTACAATGACACCCTGGAAGCAATCACACAGTATCTGTAGGTTTCTAAAGAATATCCAGTGCAGGGTGAATGTGTCCCTCTCTGCACATATTCATGTTTAAACACAATATATTCAATGTGGTAACTCATTAGAGATGAGGCCAACGCAGTCTCTTATGTGAGAGTGCCTACAGAGTCATTTGTGAAAACACCATTCCACTTTGCTTTGAGAAACAGGATCCCATCATCAAGGCAATACCCCTACTCATCCCATCCAAGTCCCTGCCCTTTATACGTCCCAGGGGGACTTCATTTCCATAAATAAAACGTCATACATTATGAGGATGCTGACATAAGCAGCTGATGGGTGACCTCACCTTGCCATGCATGAGCAGCCTAATGGTGAGGGTGACATTGAGCCCGCCTTCAATCACACCGGAGTCCATAACTGCAACTGCAACTAAGTCGTCAGTACAGAACTGGAGTCTTTGGTCACAGAGATGGATCTAAGGGGCAGAGACAAAAGCATCCATTATACACCTAGTAAGATATTGTGGTAGGACTGAATAGTGACTCAGAAAATTAAGGAAATACAACATACGGACTGATGCAGCGTGTTAATGCTGTCTTAACACATAGTAAATAGGGTGAATTCTTAATGTCTCTCCACAGCATTAGGTCACAGTTTATAGCACAATTCATTGTATTTACATTCTAGCATTGGCTAATATATCATTTAAAGCTTCTCTACATCTTCTATGCTCTTGCAGGATGCAGGTATTGCTTTACTACCAGGCCACCGACACTAGCCAGAACAATACAAAGTATTAAAGGCCTCTGAGTCCCATTTACACTATTCGTTAAGCAATTATCTTACCAACCAAACACATTATGGTCAGTCAAAACAGACTTGTATATCCTTTGGCTGAATGTATAAGAGTGAAAGACAAATCTGTACATATCTAAAGATTAAAATCGATTTACCAAAAGACAAGTAAGCCTTCAATAGCACATATAAACCTAATCACTGTTAAGAGCATATGATGCATTGGGTCACAGTTTATGCTAAAGCTTATTAATACTGGTGCGTACTACCATGGACCAGAAAAAATGCTAAGAGCTTATTTAACTGTTCCAACAACATGCTGCTAGTGAGGTGCATTTATTTTCAAACATCTGACTGCTGCTCCAGCCCAAGTTATCCGTCTCTCGACAAGTGAATTAACGTTGAATCCATCTGAATGCGGACTGAAAAACATATGGCTTGTATGCTAACGATGCCTTCATCATTAGCTGTGAATCAAGTTTATCAACAAATGTGTGGGCAATTACCGCCTCATTACCAGTCAAACACATATTCAGTGAAACACATGCTCCAATGTGTTCGGTATGAAAAGAAGATACTTAATAGCTTACTTTGGCGGTGTTGTTTAGTTTGGAGTGCGACCATTTAACTATTAAAGCTAGTTGTAAGTCTGTTAGCCAGTTAGCATTTCGGTTCCTCACCGAGCTGGGAAAATGAATGGAGCATGCGTGCGCTACTTAGCAAAGCTAGCTGGTTAGCTTAAATCGTCAACGTTACAAACAGCTGAGTAATTTTCTGTAGCCTTCGTGGTAAGGTAGTTAGGTCTTACTTTAACCAAATATACGCGCTAAACAGAAGACAGTAGTTTCTTTTAAGTGACATAAAAAATAAACTTCCCGTGGCTAGCTAAGCTAACCAAATCATTCCGTACGGAGACTGCGTGCTCATCATCATGCGGCCTGTTAGCACGCTGGACCAGCTGCGGCTAGCTGCTGGGCGCGATTTCTTTCCGCTACTTCTAATCATAACAACAAATGTTTAAAAAAAGAAAAAAAACAGCGAACATCGAAATAAAACTCACCTGATTCGTGCGCTGGTAAGTGATCGGGGGGAGGGTTGGGGTTGTAAGGGTAGAAGGGGAGAGGTTCGGGAGGGTAGAAACCCGGGGGAGAGTTTAGAAAGGACTCGGGGAAGAGGGAAGAGTGATGTGAGATCGAGCTCCACTCCTTTACACAAAGACAACAAAATTATAACCTCTGAACTTTCCCCTCTCACCCATCACAAACCCCCACCCCGAGAGTGACCCGAAGGTTCCCTGTCGGCGCGTCCGGTACAGCGGCACATCTGCAGGACACGATGCTACAACATGGCAGGTTACATGAAAGGATACCAATAAAAAGAAGACTTATTGCGCACAACACAAACATTGTTACATTAGTTTCAAAAGTCACAGCGGGAAAAGTCTGCTATTGGAACGAGCCAAGAGCCCACGTTTCGATTGTAAACATTAACTGACAGTCAGGTTTATGATTTATTTAGGATTCTCCAGTGTTTTTAATAAACTATATTTAGAAACGTCAATAAAATACTTGTTTTAAATGCCACTAGCGGGCGTTACGTTTATTGCAACTTAATTTATACATTTATTTACTGTCGAGGGGATGTCACGCAAACACTTCTAGTTTAGATCCATTTATTGAAAAGGATTAAGTGAACAGTTTACATAAAATTGCATTTAATCCAGATACAAAGGAATGCAGAATAGTGTTTTTTTTTATTTGCAGTCATGTACAGTAGTGATCAAATTAGACAAAAATCATCTTTAAGGCAAAGTATGAACACTCATTTCCCTTTCATTCTCCACTTTTAGGTTAATTCCTCTATAAAAAGCAAAACATTTTATATACAGTATATTGTTTTATTAGTTCACAAGACACAGTAGTTGTACATCCATGTAAGGCTGCAGTCTCTCTTTAAATTGCATGTATCCTACTATTAAAGACAATTAATAATAATAGAGAAACCCTAACTGCAGAATATCTGATAAAACCACCAACTCCCAAAAAATAGATCCATTTTAAGTAATGCTGGGATGCCAATACAGATTAATGTTGTGGTGATGTTCACAGCAACAGCCTGTGTAAAGATAGTGTCATAGAGATCATGCAAGATATGATAAATACTGTAATTCAGCAGAAATCATATTAAAAGTGAAAGGAAATTACTTTTGTGCGTTAGTAGTTAATGGTAATGTTGCAAGTCTGGAAAGCAGCGTTTCTGTGTATGTTGAACTTGTGGCCTCAGTCTGAGTCGCTGCTGCTGCTGCTGCTGCTACTGCTGCTGCTGGAGGACTGTGAAGAAAAAGATCACATACGTGTTAATAGTTTTTTAAAAATATGTTTAAGTTACATTTCATGAATGCATATTTTTAAGTGAAATTGTCATTGATATACTGACAACAACCTTCCATAATTCAGGAAGTATGTGAGGTCATATGAGTCAAATCGAGGAATATTTTTATTATACAGCTACTTTCAAGGCCCAGTGACGGCAAATGTTCTGCAGTCTATAGTGCCATTGTCCTCCCAGGCCACAAATACACTTTTATTTTAAAGAAATAATTGTTGCTTGATTACATTCAATTATGCTATGTTTTTATTCATACACCCTTCTTGTACAGCTGTATTTTGGCTTCCAAATCAAGTTATGGGTCTCATCTAAACCCCCTAGCTGCCTTCAAATGTCACTATATCAGGAGTTTTAAAGATGATTCTGATGTCAACTACTTTATATAATATTAGAATGACAACATGTTTGTATTCTGTAGCCTGCATGTCATTATACTGGATATATTAAGCTTTACTCGAGGTGCTAATCTAATGTTTTATATTCCACTGTTTACATTTAAAATGCCCTTCATCATTTTTAAAGTCAACACGGTAACTGATAACCTGACAGTACAGCACACTCGCTGTAGTCATAGCAACCATGTAAACTAGAAAATTAAATTATAGCTGTGTGTTAAGTTACTAAAAGCCACAGACTGAACTGAATCTTCTGAAGTCCTCAAGATGTATGACAGACATACAAGAGCCACTTCACAAGTTAATTAAGTTGGCTACCATTTGCAGCAGTGCTGCATTTTACAATTGATGCTACACAGTGTTTATATGATAAACTTACCAAGGCTTGAAAAGTCTGACATTTCTGTTTTATAAATGCTTACTCAGGGTAGAGATATTTAAGTAGAGCTCAAACAACTGAGTGATTAGATGATTGAAAGAAAAAAATCATTCTAATTGATTGATTTACAGATGAAGTCATTAGTACCGGTAGTTGTTTTTTTGTTTTATCGTTTGTTTTTTCCAAGGGAAAAAAAATAGCAAAACTCTGCTGGTTCTATCCTCTTAAATAAAAACAAATATTGTTTGCCACAGTTCCATATGATAGTAAAGTCAGTTTTGTTCAGTTTTTCAGACAAAAGACACATTTTAAAAATCACCATAGACCTCAGGAACTTGTGATTGTCATTTTTCAAGATTTTCTTACATCCTATTTACCAAACAATTAGCTGTTTATCTAACAAAGAATTCTGTCATTGCAGCACTATATTTACCACAAAGGCCAGAGAGAACAATTAACGCTACTTTTCACAAGTACCATTTTGTTTTCATACAAACCATCTTGATGTTTGAGAATACAGTCTGATGACAAGCTTTGATATCATACAGCAGAATAAATTATCTTAATGATAATCTACATTCATCCTTAAGTATCATGTAAACAATATTGATTTCCAACAGTACTGTGCATCTTTATTGCTGCACTCTGCATTTACTGAGTCATGACTGCATTACTACTGCTTGGTGATAATGTGTGTATATGTCCAGCACTGACTGACCTCAAGATAAAGGCCTGAGGCAGAGAGGTGTGAGTGTTCATTCAGGTTTTATCTTTTTATCTAGCTTCGGCAATATTATTTCCCCTGCAGCAGCAGCTATTTTAAACAACTCCTATATACAGTTTTAACTTAAACCCAGTCTCACCTTGCCATGTTTGTGGTGCCCATGCTTGTGCCCCTTATGTGCTTTCTTCATCTTCTTTTTCAACTTTTTGTGGCTTTTGTGTCCAAGCATCCCCACTCCCATCCCTGCCACTCCTCCAGCTAAAGCTCCAGTGATGGGATTTACCCCTCCATGATGATGACCTTTGTGATGGCCTTTATGTTTACCCCCTTTTGGAGAGTGTGGGTATGGACCTGGGTAAACACCTCCAGGAGGGACCACTGGACAACCGCCTGGAGCCATAGGATAAGGATGAAGACCAGGAGTCCCATAAGGCATCGCTCCTGGAGGTACATGTGGTCCCATGGCCGGGTTCATACCGGTGGGGAATTGACCAGCTGGGTATCCTGGGTGCGGAGGCTGGGGGAAGGCTCCTGGTGGAGGGGCAGCAGGATATGCTGGATTGTAGCCAGGAGGGTAGGCAGGGTTGGGTGGGCCCACTGGTGGAGGAGGACCTGATACAAATAACAGCACACATATACACCTTATGCTTCAGAACACCTATATATAAAACAGGTATAAAACAAGTCATAAATATATTGTAATTATGTGCCGATTATGTTTGATGTCTCACCTTGATTTGGCCACATGGTTGTGTATATATGTATATATATATATATATATATATATATTGACCTGATCAGCAAAAAGATTTCAGGTCTCAGACAAAATCCTGGGAAAACAGGGAGAATGTTAATGCAGTATAAACGTGTGATGAGATGAAATTGCATGACAAGTTTAAAATAAATTTTATGAACACCCATAAGGAGTCCTTATTTTCCCCAAGAAATGCAATTCTGTGGTTATTGAATTGAAGTACCTTCAGCATGTATCACCAGTATCATCCATTATCTATACACCGCTTAATCCTCACTAGGGTCACGGGGGGCTGGAGCCTATCCCAGCTGACTTAGAGTGAAGGCAGGTTCACCTGGACAGGTAACCAGTCTATCACAGGGCTACACTTAGAGACAGACAACCAAGCACACTCACATTCACACCTACGGACAATTTACAATCACCAATTAACCTCAACATGTTTTTGGACTGTGTGGGAGGAAGCCGGAGAACCTGGAGAGAACCCACGCTGCACGGGGAGAACATGCAAACTCCACGCAGAAAGATTCCGGTGCCCCCACCGGGACGTGAACCGGCGACCTTCTTGCTGCGAGGCAACAGTGCTACCAACTGCTCCACCTTGCAGCCCTCACCAGTATCAGTCTTTCTTAAGAAACTTGACTGTTGAACAAAATGTCCAAATACAGCATTCAGTGCAAAAGGTTTTCTACAATTAAAATTTAATGAAAACTTCTCCCACTTTCTTTATTTGTCAAGGACACAGATCAAAACACAAAAACTCTTTTATTTGAGCAAATGCCTGCATCTCAGAACAAAATTTGCAGTTGGCATTAATGGATGTTGGAAATGAGACATCCAACTTTAGGGCTGCTATACATCAGGCCAACTTTGGTTGCAATGTGTTTTCTGACTTCACATGTTTGTATTGTGTTTTAGACTGACTGAAGAATATCATGCAATATATAGATACATACACATGGCGGTAAGTTTATTAGGCACACCTCGCTGAAACCACCTATTAGGAACATCCATTCGTCCATCCATCATCTATACACCGCTTAATCCGCACTAGGGTCGTGAGGGGACTGGAGTCTATCCCAGCTGACTTAGGGTGAAGGCAGGGGACACCCTGGACAGGTCGTCAGTCTACCACAGGGCTACGCTTAGAAACAGCCAACCATACACACCTACGGACAATTTAGAATCATCAGCTCAACATGGAGGAAGCTGGAGAACCCGGAGAGAACTGGCACGGGGAGAACATGCAAACTCCACACACGATCCTGGGTGTCCTCACCTGGACGCGAACCGGCGACCTTCTTGCTGCGAGGCAGCGATGCTAACCACCATTCCACCTTGCAGCCCTAACCCTAGCTAAAACCAATGCAGTTTATTATCCCTGCAATATTCTGCCTTCAAGCAGGATCTAATATTTAGTTTTTGTTTAAACTTTTACTACATATTAAACACACCTCTCAGTGTAACATAGCCCAACAACCTACATCCTTCATAGTGGTTGTTTGTTAAATTGAAAGTTGAATAAAACACTTGTGGACAATATAATGACCACAAAAGTAGGATTTATTGCAGGCTGGTTGTAATGGTAAGGTTTTTCAAGGTGAACGTAATAAACTGCAACTCAGAGGTCCGTTGCTGCTTGTTTTTTATGTTTAGGTTTTTTTTAACCCTACAAAAACTATATATTTAAAAAACAAAAAGCAAAAAAAAAACCTTGAAATACAGTCAGTCACAGAAACACATTTATCACAGACCGAGAGAAGTCTACTCCAACTGCCAGTCATTTAGCAACACTTTAAAGTGGGACAGAGGTGAAAACACAGGTCTTAGTCATGTATTTGATGTACTTTCAGGCTGTTCTGTCCCACACTAGCAACTTCTAATAAGTGTACGTCAAAGGTTTACCTTGTAGACTTGAGTCGCCCCAGTGAAGTTTGTGAAGGATTCAGAGCTTCGTGTTTGTCTTCCGCATCGAGTTGCTCGGAAGCTGCAAGAAAACGCAGCAGGAAGCCACGCCCACTGTTAAAGGACACGCGCGTGTTTACGTCATGGCAAATGTCCAGCAGGTCCGGATCACAAGTTGATCTACTAGTTTCTGTAGCACAAAAGACACTTACCATCGTGTTTACTCCCGAACGTTGTCAGTGAAAGGGAGTGACACATATACACCTGACTTGAATTTAGCCTATTATTAAACACCCATGAATCATAGCACATGGTTGCTCATAACTAACCATTACATCACACATCAACTGTTAGGTAAGCAGTTTGACTTTATCTATAGTTACAATTATAACTAATAAAATATTGAAAAAAAAATCAAGCTTCTTTCTCCTTCTACTCCACGCATGTAAGAGGGAAATATTGCAACGTCAGCTCTGCTTCAATAATCAGACAGCTTTAGCTACTTTTAAGATGAATATTTTTCACAATGGAAAATAGTACCACATATTTAAAATACAAATGATTGTAATAGACTAAACCATTGTTCTCAAACATTTCTGGTTTTTGGCTTATGACTTGTAAAAATCACTGTGTAGTCAGGTCAAGTTTCAGTTGTTAACATCTCCACTAAAGAGTGATTTGTTTTTCTCAGATAGTTTCAGTAAATGTTCAAATGATCCAACATCTCACCAAAATGAAAGATGAGAAAACAGCTCCAGAACTGCAAGCAACTGTGTGTATCAGAACTTTGTCTTTTCTTCTTTACTCACACAAACCCTCAAGTTCATCTGGTGTCCCTGTATGTAAAACTACATACGAAGTAGGTTCAACTTCACCAGCAGCAGCTTCAACAGCAACATGGTGCAGATACACTGATGCTTCACTATTAATTATATTATAATGATGTTACACACACACACACACACATACATATATATATTCTATTCAATTCAATTCAATTTTATTTATATAGGCACAGTTTACAACACGTGACTACACAGCACTTAACAAAGGAAGGTATAGATCTTCTAAATTTAAACAGTGAACCGAACAATCCAAAGTAGCCTTTGTACTTCCTCTGAGCAAACGGTTGGCAGCGATGGGAAGGAACCAAATACAACCCCCCCCCCCCCCATTTATCCAATAATGGACACTTCAATTTCAAAGTATTTTTTAAACTTAACATCTTGAAACTGGAAAATTAACTCCTGAAACTGAACATTTCAATGGGGTTCATTTAATTTATAAATATTTTTCTCAGTAGCTTACAGCAGTTAAATGCAATAAACTTTGGTGATATTTCAGTTTTGATTTGAACTTGTGGGAGTTACATTTCCCAGTTTGTATTCAGTTTCCTTTTAGAGTTAACTCCTGTCTCAATCCATCTAACATTATCTTTTTTTGTGTCTTGACCTTGACCCCTTTTCCTGGTCTGTTTTCTACCAGTTTCCATTGAAAAGCTTTAGATCTCTAAAAAAATGGAAAAATGCTCAGCATATATTTCTTTAACGAATTGCTGCCACTCCCGTATTCATCAAATTGCAGGACAATGTGCCAACTGCTATTATCTGGCTTCCTCTCAGTGCCCAGGAAGTGGACTATCCCAGCATGCCTCATTAGTGGCAGCCCATAACTGGCTTTCCCTGTGGTAAATTTATGTTTCCAGCTAACAGGAAAAACGTTCATGGCCAACATGGATCGCTGGTATTGTCTGCCAAGCAGTTGTAAAAGGCCTTTGGCAAATTAAGTGAAAGAGGTATGAACATACAGGAAGAATAACAATACATGGGAACATAGGCCACATAACTGCATGAATTAGGGATATCTTGCACAAAGCTAACTGTGGCATTTAAATCGCTGGGCTCTCTATCTGTCAGTCAATGTTAGCAATGTCAGTCTCATAGGTTTTTGTTGTTTGGCAGGAACACAATGGCAAAATACTGAATCCCGTTTTAAGCCTCTGAGAGTGATCATTTTAGAACTGGTAACTCCATTTTTCCAAGATAATGAAAGTGGGGGCATTTTTTAAAAAAAAAATCTGTCAGTTAAATTTCAGGTATTAAGACAACAGACTCTTTTATTTGTGTGTGTGCTTTGCCAACACATGTAACATTTGAGTATATAGTTGATTTTATGCATAAGCAACAAGTTTGTATTGATCAAAGTGACTTGTGAGGTTGGACGTCTTCCTGTTATACATTTTTAATCTTATTCTACTGACAGCTGTTTGTGTCTTAGTCTGACCATTTACGGTTTCAATTGACTCCTTGACAGTGGAGTTTAAAAAGTGTCCAGTCTCCGGTTAACGCTGTGTATGCGTGCCGCCCGAAACGACAAAACACGCGCACCCATATTCAATCACGTTAATTGGACGTGTACCTGCGCGTGGGACAGTCTCACTTTGGAAGCTAGTTGGTCAACAGTCCACGTTAGTCACGAACAAAATGGTAAAGTAACTTAATATTATTCACTTGTTTGGATAAATTTGTACATCAGGTGCCTATAATGTTTTGAGGATACTTTTATTTACTTGGTCTTCTTGTGTTCAGACGGCGGTTGTTGGATTGAACTTCCTGACAAAGGAGCTAGCTGATGTTTTTGCAGAAGACTCTGAAAATGATGTGACTTTTTACGGCTTTTCTGACACTGATATCAACATTAAGGTGCGTTTATTTAGCTATTTTTACATCGACAGATACAACATTAAAAGGGGAAAAGTATTCACTCAGTGGTGGAACAACTATTATATATGCTATTATATTTCACTTTAGCAAAAGTACCCATACAGCAGTATAAAAACACGATTACAAGTAAACGTCCTGCATGGAAAAATCCTCCTTAAGTTATAATGACTAAGTATTAGCTAAAGTATTAAAGTAAAACTACTGGTCTGGTATCTCTGACTGATAGAATAATGTGTTTAACACAACAATACTGAAGCATGAGTGTGTGAGCAGCATGTTAAAGCTGCTGCAGTTGCATATAATATAGTTTGAATTACTTTATGTGCAGTATACACACACACACACACACACACACACACACACAGGGACAGCAGATAAACCTGAGGGGTGTTGATATAATTAGTGAGAGAAGTAAGAAAAAAAACAAACAAAGCTGCAATACACAAATCTGTTAGCAGTGTTTGGACTTTTCCTTTATTCTTTATTTTGTGGTGAGATATGTAACATAGACTTAAAAGTAAAAATCCAGCAACTGTACACTATTTGGAAGCCAGAAAGCTTGGAAATAACTGCTTTAATCTTTAACAATATATTGCTTGTTTTATTATCAATTGTGTAAGATTTTCATCTTTAAAGTAACTAAAGCTGTTAGATAAATATAGTGGAGCTAAAAGTACAGTATTTACCTCTGAAATGCATTGAAGTGGAATTCTGAAGTGGCATAAAATGGACAGTACTTTAACGTTGTACTTCAGTACAGTGCTTTAGCAAATGTACTTTCAACGATACTGTAATTGTGATTGGCCTTTAGTTTGGTGCTGCTGTGCAGTCAAATCATTCAAGCATTATCCTGTATTTAATTGTTAGTCATTTTCACTCTAGTGCAGCTGCTTTTTCTTGTTGCTGCAAAAAGAGTTTTTTTTTTTTGCAAAAACAAATCAGTTCCGCTGTCAAAACTATGATATGAGTTGTGTTACTAGTCAACTGAGAAACCATCCACATTTATGTCCATCAGAATTCAAATGTTAGAAATGAAGATGAAGCTCAACCTGACATTTCCCTCAAGGAGCTGGAAGCTACATCTAAACCATCTGCTGCTGCTCAGCCCTTCAGACTGAGGGTGGCTCTGCGCTCCGCTCCCTCAACCCAGCACTCCACTGATGATGAGGAAGCAGAGGAGGATAAGAACAGGACAAAAAAAAGAGGGATGAAGAGGCCAAGGGAGACCAGAAGGAAAAAGAAGGAGAGACAAGTGAAATTTGAGGATGAGGAGACAGCAGTGGCTCGGCTGCCTCCATTTCAGGAGTGTCGGCCTGTTTCAGCAGAAGATGTGTCGGATACTTTCCTGGCCAAGAGAGAGCAGAACATCAAGGACAACAAAGCAATGGTAAATCAGAAACATAAACCCATGTATGGAGCAGGAGTATTTGGAAAAACATCCACAGGGTCCCTAACAAAATTCAAGTTGGCTCCACAAAAGTATATGTTATTTTACACACTTGGTTTGCTTTTGTGAGAATTAGGCAACAAAGGTTAGGCGTGTTGATTTGAGACACGTGACACTGACTCAAGGTATGAATATTATAGGTTTAGATTTGACTTTAAAATATCCAAAAAATCTTCTCACTTGAGTTTGACTTTAACCCAAATGACTCATGACATCATTTGCACTTTAGCCTTTGATATGGGGTTACTTGGAATTCTCACAAGCCCAATAAGTTTTCCTGGTGGTGTCTATACTTTAAATCATTCTGAACAGCCAGTCACATTGTGCAAGCTGGACGTAAAGTTATGTTTGGCTGTGCAGAGCTGCAGACAGACAAAAGACAATTCTTCAGGTGCAGAGACCCAACAAAACTTGAGGCAATTAATGCTGAAAAAACATGCACATTTGTCCTACAGCAACTTACGATGTTTATCTGCCATGTCTTTAATTTCTTCACTCTTCTAACAGCTGGCTCAGCTGATGGCAGACCTGCAGAAAATGCCTGGAGGTGCAGGGTTTCTGAAAAAACAAGTAGGCAAACAGAAGGCAAAAGAGAAAAGCTCCGTGAGTATGATGAAAAATAAGAACTCCAGCTAATTCACCTAACAAAGCTTCTTCTTTCTCTTGAAAATTAAGCAGAGATATGAATATTTGTATTTCCTTGTGAACTTTACTTATTCCAATCTTACCTACAGTGTCCACCTCGGTCTCGTGCGACTGGAGGGGAACCCAGGAGGAACCCCGAGAGGACGACCCGCAGACAGACCCGGTCGATGGCGGCAAGTGAGGATCCTTCTGCTGAACAGGAGGCTGAAGTGGAGCTCAGCTTGGAGGACGAGCTGCTGGAGGTCAGAGATGTGGACTGTATTTTTGTTTTAGTTATCCCCTTACATAAAGAATTTCTGCTCAGTTTATTTTAAGCTGTGCATTATTATAGCTTTATGTTTAAAGTAGAGCTCAGTCATCAAAATTGATTTGATTCATGTTACTTTTATGAGGAATGTGGGTTCTTGTGAAACAAGTTTGCCTGGTGTCTGGTATTGAAAAAAACAGTTTGCAAACATTTAGAGAAACTGAGATTATTGTAACTGTGTGTAATTTATGATATTAGGCTCCACATACGTGTGTTGTCTTGTTATTGCCTGTATAAAACTTGAAACTTTACAGAATATAATTTTTCTCTGTTTTCATCATCTGTTTCAGGTACGTCGAGCTCCACGGCGTCGTAGCACCCCACGACCTAATCAGATCAAGCCTCATATTATTCGTCCAGTGGAAGACATCACAGAAGATGAGCTTCAGCTGGTTGCAGACAATATGACTGACAAAACATATAACAGTGCCACAGTGAGTTCACAGTTGGAAACCTGTTTTATTTTTCAATAAATTACACAATCGATTCAATGGGTTGTGCCAGTATCAGGTTAATTAGCCTACGGAACATTAAAAAAATCAAACACCCGGTGTTAACTTGTGATGTTTATGGATAATGCCATCATATCCATGGGTCTATGCATGTTCACCTGGTTTAAATAAGCATTCTTGTTCTTTTTTTTCCGCCTACATTGTGGACCGATATAATGATATATACAAATCAATCAGACCGCCCTGGCAAACTTGTTTGTCGTCATGGGACGTGATACTTTAGACAACCACCATTCACCTCTAGATCACTTTTTGTGAGTGAAGACTTGCTATTTTCACCTCCTTCATGTAGCCTCTGCTGGGCATGTTAAAGTTAGCAGGAAGTGGTGGAATAAAGTGCCTTAAGAATTTGGTCACACTGAACAGACTGCACAGTACAGGCCAAACCACATTTTTTCTTCTGAGGAAAGCGCTGAGTCATTAAGTTGCCACCAGATGGCTCTCTACCACTAGAGTCTAGCAATCTGGATCAACCTCTGTGTAACTGAATAATACTATGGGGCAGTTTGGCAGGAAAAGTTATACAATATAAGGCCAGTTTAGCTATAGCTGATGTTTCTGTGTATTTTCAGGGCTCCACGTGTCATCAGTGCCGTCAGAAAACTGTTGACACAAAGACATGCTGTCGCAGTGAAGACTGCCGTGGGATTCAGGGTCAGTTCTGTGGGCCATGCCTGAGGAACCGATATGGGGAGGATGTAAGGAAAGCGCTGCTTGATCCGGTCAGTCTCCTGATACACCAACACACTCTACACCTGTGCAGGTGCAGAAAAATAACATTGTACACACTGTTGGGTAACAAAGCTACAAGGGTACTTCCAAAAGTTGTCTGCCTCACCAGAAAGCATCACTGGAGAAAGATGTTCTGGTATTATTCTTCTTGTGGTCCACTGATGTTAAAGCTTCACCGCCCCTTCGCTGGAGATGGTCACATCTTAAAACTTCAGATATGCCTTAAAAGCATGGATGACCTTATTGTCACACTGAAAATGGTGCCCATGCAAGTCAGTATCAAGGGGGCAGAAGATAAAGATGTAAATTATGAGTAAAGGTCAGATGAGAACATGGGATGACTATGATCAAGTTAAATTAAGCCCAAGACTCAGTACATCTTCTCTTTGTGTGAGAGTTGAATTTTAAGAATACACCCTAAATTGCATGAAAATGCAGTGCTGATATTTTTCTGCTGTACTTACGAGATTGTAACTTGACATTAAAATTAGTGGAAGACAAAACTTTTTCTTGCTTTTAGTTAAGTGAACTTTCAGTTGAGGAGCAGCAGCTAATCATATGTTTTGACTTCTTGTGATACCAGTTGGTTTGGATTTTGGTTTTCTCCTCAGGAGTGGAAGTGCCCTCCCTGTCGAGGCATTTGCAACTGCAGCTTCTGCCGTCAGCGTGAGGGCCGCTGCCCAACCGGGATCCTGTTCCCCTTGGCTCAGTACCACGGCTTCTCTGACGTCCACTCATACCTTAGCAGGTGGGGTAGAACACCATAAGACTATTTGATAAATGAAGATGTTCTTATGTAGTGGTAACAAATACATTTGAAACAATGCCTTGATTACAATGGAAACCATGTGTATTTGGAGACCTGGAAGGGGCCACGGTGAGGTCAATAGTGGTGGATTTGAGGCTGGGTAACATTTCATTAATTAAGGGTTTGGACCCAATGCCTTCCATCAGAAGTCAGTTGTTATGCTGCTAAACCCACCTACTGAATGACCAGAAAATGTGTTTATTGGACCTGACAAAACCTCTCCAACTCTTTTCTCCTCCTACAGCCTTCGTAACAAATTGAAGAGTGAAGAGAGCAATGGAGAGATGTGATTTCAACACTGGAGGAGCAATTGGTCAAACTGTTTTATTTTCTTCGTATTAATGTTTTAACTGTTTGTAGTTTAATAAAACACACAACCTGTGATTTTAAACAAATTACTTTCTGACCAACTGATTGTTTTATGTGTATTGTGAGTGTGTTGGGGCACAGGTTCTCAAAGAAATGAAACAGAATATCTTTATTATTTTAATCCAGCTGTTGGCATTCGCAGTAGTTCGTATACACAATATAAAATCCCTTATTTAAAACGGGGCAAAAAAAAAAAAAATAAGAGCACTTGCTGTCCAATGAACTTAGTCTATAGAGTTTTTAAACATTAAACAGATTACATGTTACAATGTTGTTTCTCAAAGGAGTTATGAAGCAAAAACAAACAAACATTTCAACAGTGATGGGAAGCACATCTTTCCAGAAAAACATTACAGTTTGCAACTTATTTATTTGGACAACAAAAGGAAGTGTATCCAAGGTTTGCCTCAAGCTGGATCTTTTCCAGTTATAACTTTAGCATATGCATTACAATAGTACAAATTATTAGAAAGTTTGTGGACCAAAGAAAAGTTTCCTACTTTTGTTTGTAAAGTGAGTATGAACCTTTGGTTTTGAGCTTACATATTTATGCTGTCTGGACATTATTACCAAATACTTCACTGCGACCAGATAGGACTTAACAAAAATAGTTTTAAACAAATGGATGTGACTGCAAGGCAAAGTCTCAGAAGATAAGTATACCACAGAAAAAGTACATGGAAGATCTGGACTGTAGACAATACATTATTCTATGACAGAGAAGCTCTTAAGTTTACACATTTAATCTACATATATATATATATATATAAAAGTAACAAGATTAAGATTGATTGTGCACAAGAGGTTCAGACAACTGAAAGGCAATCTCTTGCAATCATGTAAGATGATCCTGCCTATGCTAAGAATTTCTGTAGCCTTTACCAAAAATATATATATTTATATATATATATACATAAAAAAATCAAAATGCTTTGCGATGATAAAGATATCAAAGCATGATGGCTTGAATGTGTGTACTTAGATAAGAGGTTAAAGAGTTATTCTCAGGTTTTCAGTGCCCTGAGACACATATCCTCACACTGATTAGTACTTGTAGCTCTGACCGGTTGCTACCAGCTGTATTGTGGCAACTGACTACCCCAAATAATTTTGCATAATCAAAGGTACTGGGATTATTAGTTTGTGAACATATCCAGCTCTCAAAACACTGCAACCACAGCAATTTGAGAATTTAATATCTGTTGCTCAGTTTTTAATGGGGAATTTAGCATTTTGAGCTGATGTGGGACAGTTTGCCTGAAGGGCAGGGATGATACAGCAGCCCAGTCTGATGGGGCAGGACACGCCTGAAATGAAGAGGGGCAAGTGGCAAAGCGCAGAAATGAGGGCAATAGCCTGACTTAACAGTGCCATCTCTTCACTAAAGAAGCTTGTATGGAGAATATTATGAGCTACAAATTCAGCAGGAAGTGTGCTGATCTGTGTTTTATTGCACTCCTACTATCAAGTAACATTGGATCTGTATGTGGGACAAATGTAGTGCCATTTCTATTCAGAGAAAATAAGATTTTATGATGACTTCTCGAGTTAAACATTTTAATCCAACTCACCCACCCCTAAACCTAAAATGCCACAGGTATCTAAATACGTGATGTAGATCATATTCCAGCCTCAGTTCTCAAATTCAATAGTGTCTGTTGTGTTGCATCTGTGACCACCTCTCATTGGAAGCCTTTGAGAAGTTGTGCGTTTGCAGTAACGTGCCCTTTTTAACCCCGAATGTCCAAATACAATATCCACCAACGCCATTTTCCTCCACCATTTTTAGTAACTGTTGCCATTGATTTGGTGAAGGTCCACCTGCATCATGTTGATACCACTGCTGGCTAATCGAGCTATGCTCTCTGCAGATAAGGTTTCCATGGTGACAATGGTGTGCTGGTCACTGGCCAAAACTGCTCCAGTGCCGGCTTCTGTTCCTGCTGCAGGGGAAGCAGTATCAGTTGTGATTGTGGTGCTGCTGGTGGTGACAGTTGCTACTTTCTTGTTCAAATGGGTCTTGACGTGCTTTGAGAGGTGATCGCTGCGCATGAAGCGTTTAGGGCACTCTGGGCACATAAACCGCTTCTCACCTGAAATGTGGGAAGAAAGCAAATAAAGTAAAACAGTTGAATCTGGTATTTCCTTAGACCATGACAGACCACTGGCTACAAAGGTAAAATCAACCAGTTATAAAGACTTAATGCACTGTATCACAGTAAATAAAAAAAAAGAAAAAGAAAATTTAGACTTTAAGATGAGATGAATCAAACCCGAAAGGGGGGCTAAGCAACGTGATAACAGTCAGTGTTGGCTGAACCGACACTATTCCACAGCAGACATTATGACTTGTAATAGTCAGGACAGTGGTGTTACTAATGAACTTACATCCCAGCAAAGACATGACCATAGGCTAGTATGCACAACACCAGGAACCGCAAACTAAAGTAGCTGTATGAATTTAAGATGTCTTTTGTTACTAAACAAAATTGTCATTTGTACCTGTGTGTGTTCTCTTATGGCGCTGAAGCTCATCTGAACGGGTGAATCGTTTCCCACAGAAAGACCAGCTGCAGACAAAGGGGCGTTCTCCTGTGTGCCAGCGAAGGTGGGCCCTCAAGTGGGATGTCTTGCCATAAATCTTCCCACAACCAGAAATGTGACAGATGTGCTGTTTCTTTTTAGTTGGGTCACTGCTTGATGTAAAAACAACACACCAGAGTGTGAAAGAAAGTGGTATTAGTGGGAGATGAAAATTCAAGTGTAAAAGCCTTTGAAACAAATAGAAGAGCAAAGAGAGCGATGTAGAAATGTAATTTCAACACTAGGAGGCGCAATTGTTCAATCAGTTTTTTTTTCTCTGTATCAAAGTTTTGCCTCCGAGTAAAATAAAACACACACAACCTGTGATTTAAGTAAATTCATTTCTGACCAACCGTTTGTTTTATGTGTATTGTGAGTATGTTGGGGCACAGGTTCTCATAGAAATGACACGGAATATATTTATTGTTTTTATCCAGCTGTTGGAATTAATAGTACTTGTATACACAATCTCACTTCCACTGAAATTCTCTTTAAAAAAATTCAGTTCAGTGGAACTTGGATTTAATTTTTGTAACTTTGGACAGCGGCTTTAATAAAGCATTGAATTCTGTTTCGTGACCATTAAACACAAGCCTCTCAAGACTAAGGATCTTTATTTTACTAAGAACTCACGATGAGCTTTAAATAATGTTCATCATAACACTATCAGAATGACTGTATTGTAAATATAACCAGTAAAACTTATTTCAGACAACATATTCTTAAAAAGATTATGACGATAAAAATAATGCATTTTGTTATAAAGCATATAACATTTGGCCAAAAGGCAGAAATAATAGAGTTAAGCGACATACCGTCCCTCTCCGTCCTTGCAGAAGGGGCAGGTACAGGCTTCTCTGCGGTTACGTCGCCCTTGAGGTTGTGGGCTTACATCTTCATCATCCATAGCTGCACTATCATCCAAACTTTCTCCACCTGTCTGCAACGCCTGCTCACCTGTAGTGAAGGAAAAGGAAATACTCAAGTGTAAGATACTGTACACAGTGATTTGATTGATCTTTTTGGTTTAACACATTTCATTTAACAAGTTAAGGACAAACTACAGCCACTTAATTTTCTATTCCATTCCTCACAGTGTTGGCAATTTTCTTTTATTTAAGAACCTGTTGAAACTTCATTCAACAACATTCAGATGGTTAAATCGTCCTTAATTAGTGCTTTCCTTAACAGCAGCTGCACCCAAAGGGTTAACCAGTTACATTATTGTATGCTAGAAATGTTTTCTGACCTCAACTATATGTTACATGCAACTGAGATATCTATAATTTCTGATCTAATTTAAATCATTTCCAAAGACACAAAGAAATAAGAATCGCACCTATTTATTTCTGATACTTTTAATTTAAGTGCATTTAAGGGTCAAATAATACTCATCCCAGGGTATTCAGAAAAAATTGTAGTTTAAGTACAAATGAAATGTGCTATTTGCACAAGAGTAACATTTTAAATAATGCATAAATACAGAGACAAATGCTGGTTACCCAGTGCCCTCTGGGTTTTTCACTATGCTTGTGGAAGATTTTTCTTTCAAATCACTGACACTGACGTGTACAAAAATGAGCTGTTCAGTGTTGCTAAAGTCAAACCAAAGTCTGCTACATACACAGCTAATGAGAAGTACATGGTTTAATAATGCAGTTAACAGACTCAGAGTCCTCACAAATGTTTGTATTTGACAAAATGTAGACTAGCAAGCATGTAGATGTACATGGAGGGACTGCCACTGACACAACTAAAAAAGGGTTTAGACAAGATAAAGGCCTCTCTATATGGTGGGAGGGGCGAAGTTACACCCCTGCTATAACAGACGTTGTGGCCTAGCCACAACTACAGTGTAATGTGAACATCATCCTAAGGGATGCAGAATCACCAAGAAAAGAAAAAACTAAGCATGAACACAAATGCATGCAGTGCAGTAAAGAGCTCGGGGAAACACTGGGCCAGCTAAACTGGTTGAACCAGTATAGTGCACTTCAGACACACTGAAGCAAAAAGAGATCAAATCCAGAGATACAAGATACTTTACATTTCAGAGCAAAAATACAGGGGGAGGAGGAAACAACAGCTAAACCAAATTTTTACACTACTAAATATTTACTCAACCCAACTGCCAGTTAGTCTACTACTTTACAAATACTACAGACTGCAACAGCTGATCTTTACTTTTTGGTCATCTAGCTTGCCTAAAATAGGTTAAAATTTTTTATTTTTTTTTAAAAGAATAAACACAATTAAAGGTTACGTTTACTGTCTGTTATTTTGATCAAAATCAAAATCTGTGAACATTTCTAAAAAGTAATGATTGCAAATAAAGCCCCACAACATAAATCATTCAGTACAAATAAGGTCACTGTGTTTTCACTAACCGCTTAAAATGTTTGAAACACACCAACTGGTTTAATACAATGTAAAATACAATAGCTTAACATTATGTATACATTTTTTACACTGAATATTATTGCTAAAAAGGAGGGGACTGACTGACCTGGACTGGTGATGGTGATGGGAACCCCTTGTAGCTGATGCATCTGCAGGCCAGAGCTTCCAAGGGAGTTTAGATTTATGGTCTGGATGCCAGGGATCTGCACAGTGTTGACAGATACTCCTCCAGCAGCAGCCCCCTGAGTCTGGCCAAGTTGCGGGAGAGACTGCACTGGAGCCAGTGTTATCTGTGCTCCTGTCGGACTCTGGATCTGAATGGTCTGCCAGCTCACCTGGCCATTGGGACCCACAGTGCGCAGGAAGATGGGCCCCGTGTTTGGCATAATTTGAAGATTTTGGAGCCCTTCCTGGCTAAGTGTTGGAGCCGCAAATACTTGACCGCCTGCAGTCGCAACAGTACCGGCCTGGATGGTTTGGAGTGGTGTTCCACCTTGGATAACCTGCTGAGGCTGTATCAGGATTTGCTGTGGCTGCTGCCCGTCTCTGTTGTCTGGCTGTATTGGGACACCCAAGGAAGATGCTGTGCTCTGCTGGAACGTTCCTGTCACTGCTCCATTGCTGTTATGTGTTTGAGTAATTCCATAAGAGGAGGTCTGTGTAGTAACAGTGGATGCACTTGTCATGTAACCTGCCGCACTATTGGAAGACACTGGCTGTTGCGACTGCTGTTGCTGTATGAGTTGGTTTCCCCCGGCATCTCCTCCACCATTTGCATCTCCACCTGTACCACCGGCACTGACAGGCAACAAAGTGATGTTTCCATTTATAGAGACGGGCATATTTGCCACAAACTGAGGCTGGTTTTGTAACACACTGTTGCCTAAGCTTATATTTTGTATGGGGATGGCTCCCTGAAGGAGACTGGGCATGGTTATGATGTTTCCTGCTGCACCAGCTCTGTTGGTTGCAGCTATGATCTGCTGGCCATTAGGAGAGGACACTATCTGAAACTGCTGCCCTGGTCCTGCGGCAGCAGGTACAGCTGACTCCTGCTGAGCATGTGCGAAGTGCAATGGCTGGCCATCTACTGTCTGAAACTGGGGAATAACCTGGTATTGAATGTTGGGCATCATGCCTGATATGGTGGTAAGCACCTGTTGACCCTGTACTGATGGAGCTTGAGCTAGTACATATTGCTGTGGCTGCTGCTGCTGACCCTGAGAGCTTGCAGCAGCTGCTGATGGTGACAGCACCTGTCTGCTCTTGCCGGTGTCTCCTCCTGTCATCACCCCTGAGGAATCGGTGGTGACAGTGTTAGACCCTGAGGATGCTTGAACGCTGAGAGGGATAACCTGCCAGCCGTTGGCACTGGAGGTGAAAACACTCTGGTTTAGGTCCAGCTGATGCTGCTGGTTTTGCTGTTGCTGGTCTGCAGGGGAATCACTCTCTCCTGGGGTGTCAATTCGACTGCATGTGGCAGCCAACAAGGCAAGAGGAGATGGTTGCTGTGATTCCTAGAAAAAAATGTACAAAGAGATTAAATGGAATGTCACAACTAAAAATATATATCTTACTGTCTTACATAGTATAGCTACAAAAAATAGCAACAGATGCAAAAATTTACAATTGTATTTTACATTCACAAAGGAAGAACATGTCAGCATTTCTACACGCAAAATTACAAAGTGCTTTACAAGAAAAACTGCCGATACCGGGAAAGGTTAGTGTGAGATTATTTAAAAAGTAACCTAAATGGTAAAAGGATCACAGCAGCAATTACAGGAGTTACAGTAAAACAACCATAGCTAAAAATGGATCATATAAGACCAGGAGATGATTAAAAAAAAAAAAAGAAAAAAGAAATGCTCATCATCGTTGAGAGGCCTAGACTGAAAAAGACTAAAGGGCATTTAAGTATAAACATCTAGAATCTGATAGAATATATATTATAAAGTAGAAATCATGTGATTGAGTTTGGAATTTAATTTCACAAAATGTGCAGCTCTGAGAAGACCCATATAAATATGTTATACTGCAACACTGCCAAAAACTCAAATTCGAACAATAAATACACTTTTTTTGGTCAACCAAGTCGCTGTCTAGCACTTCACTGGGAGTGGGCTTCAGAGAGAAGTCCTGGGGGTTGGGAAAGTATGGGAGGGATCACATTTTTCCAGAGCAGCGGCGGGCTCGGCTTCCCCTCCCCCCAAACCCACCCATCTCCCTCCCACACTTTATTTTGCCCTATAAACTGACACACTCCTCTAGCCACCCCCTCCAAGGCCAGCCAAATGGGCCGAGCAAAATGCTCATGAAGTGCCGGGGTTTGACGGGAACACCCCGTGTGGGCGAAATTTACCTGCCCATTCCCCACCCCAGTGACATGTGCTCTGGGGAGAAAATCAACAACCCGCACAGGTTCCGACACAAACGTATCTCAGAAGCAATAACACAAATAGGAAATACATCTCATGTTCATTGTGTATGAGCGGGAGAGCACAGTTAATATTTTCCTGCTTACAATCATGTCACTTTGAAAAAGCGCGAGTTAAATGACCAGTTAACCTACTTGTGAATTTGTGTTTCGCTTTTGACTGAAGCCTCCACCGCTCTCCACAGCGGCCATTTCGCCCTGCTGCTGATCTGCGGAAGAAGAGTTTGTAAGATCACTTCTCCTCAAGTAGTTTTAAACCAGCAAACTACCACACTGTGTTAACATGGCTTTTCACAATAGTAGGGTAAAACAGTATATACACGGTCGACTCCACTAAAATAACTAAACTCTACATGTTTCTGTAGTTATTGTGAGGCAGTTCAGACGAGAAAATAAAGGAAATCCATGCCACCAGGGCCAGCTAGCCTACAAGCTAAGCTAACATGAACTCACCACAACAAGTTGTGTTGGAAAATCGCTAAGTGTTAGCTAAAGTGACCGAAATGGCTTCAGTTGCTCTAGTAAATATAACCAGTTAGCGAGGAATCCAGTAAAGTTAAATTATCAAGTAAGCAGCAAATGTTAATTAGGAACATAATTAAAGTTGCTGTTAACCAGTTAGCTTCCTTTACTTAGTTGGCTAAATGTTGTTAGCCAAGTACCAGCAATTAGCGGCTAAGTAACGTTAGTTGGTCACTTTTAAACTGCTGGTAGCCACATAACAATACAGTATCGTATTTACAGCGGGGAACACATTTAAAACAATGTACTTTGACTTTACTTCTTACTGCAAAGTTAATGCTTCGTTCACAACATGCCACCGAGTTTAAAAAGTTCACTTACTGCTCATAATTTGAAGACGGGAGGAGTTTCTCTGCTCTTTTTTCGGGTTGACAACTTTTCACAACTTCACACAAACTTGACGCCCCCCTCCCATTTGAAGAAGAAAGGCGGGTGCGTTGAATTTAAGAACCTCCGCGTCCTGCCGGTTTGGCGGAGAACAAAAACTAAGAAATAGTTTTTACATTATTTAATTTCAAACGTTTACACTTAAGTTATGAAAATTCTTGTTAACTCAAGGCTTGCGTTTGCCTTGTTTCATCCGCATCTCACAGTCCTCACAAGCGATTATAACTCTTATGACTCTAAAGCAATTCAACTTGTTTTACAGTGTTGATATTTTATCTGTCACACACATATATATATAAACTTCAATTTGATTAAATTGTTTTCATTCAATTTACATTTAATAACTAGCTGGACAAACTTAACATCCCTAACTATTGGGTAGAGTGACATTAGAGTCTCAAAGTAATGTGCTAACACACTAGATAACTACATGTCCAAACATCACATTAATAGTTTGGACGTGCGGGGCGTTTCGTCACGTTAGAAATTCTTCATTTAAATGTCATTTGAACGTGGTGACTGTACTATCGCAGTACCTCATCACTTAAAAGAAGCGCACCCCTGTGAGAGCTACTTGTGGAGGATTGCTGCTTTTCTCCAATAGAAAAGGTTGTTTCTATCAGCGAGTATCAGCCAGCCAATGTAATTGGACCAAAGGCGGAGAAAGAGGCGGGACCAAGCAAGGTAGGTTGTACCTCTGAGTATGATTGACGTTGGGTTATCTGTTTTCCGCTTTGAAGGCTGAATGAGTAAACAAACAGACGTAAATATCGATAATTCTCTTTTATCCTTCTGGAATATTGGCTCATCATTCAACAGAGTAGCGCTGATAAAGCTCATCTCTAACTTTAAACACGGAGGTGGATAAGCTGGAAGGCGGACTGGGTGTTTTAAGTCTTGCCTCCGTGGCCACTGGCCACTCCCTGGTGGCGCCCTGTGGGTCGGGAAACAGCAAGGAGGCGGGAGGAGTCAGCCCGGGTGGAGGAGAAGATTCCCCATCACACTCACACACTGGCTGCAACCGCGCTGGGAGGAGAAAATGGCTCGTTTGTGGGAGGGCTTTTATTATAGGGATTTGTGAGGGGGCTGTCAGTAAAGCTGCACATGTGCCCATGTAAACAGGACAGAGGGTGGAGTCCGTCCCTTAGCCAGGCCTGCGCCCACCCAGCTCTGACTGAACCCAGACACTGATGTTTCTGCAGGTAGTCAGAGAAATAGGGATTTTTATCTCTATTTATTCACTACACCTCCACAAGACAGCGTATCACTTTATAATAGCACCTGCCTCCTTCTATACCATGATCTAACTTTATCCAGCAGAAGTTTTTAAAATCATTTGCTTGGGTAAAAGTATGAATTTAACAATGTAACGATGCTCCAATAAAGAAAATGTCATAAGTACCCACCATGCAACAGACTGGCCCTGTCGATGCTACAATTTACATTTCACTGCATTAATTGGTAATAATGACTTGGTATCCAACGTGCATTTTGTTCTTATTGTGTTGAGGGGAAGTCAGTTTTAGCAGTTTTTTATTTGCTTTTTGCATACTGATTAAAAGCTTAATCCATCATAGTTTTAAAAAGCAGCATTTATTTGTCACAAATACATTCATGCTTATGTTTATGAGCTCACAAAAGGTTTTGTACATTTTAGCCTTTACTTAAACTCAAATAAATGCAATTAAATCAAACGTGCTGCTCTCCTGCACAGCACAGAAATACCTATGCAAATCAGTACCTGTGTTAATGTAATTCCTTTCCTTTAGGCTGCTCCACAAAATTCCTTGGGTGTGCTTAAGCCATGAAGCCCATCGCCTACAAATACATCCATCAAAGTATTTCCTCATGCTTTATTTAAAACTTTTGCATATGTTGCATTAAAATGTTGGTGCCACTTTTTAACCCTTAGTAAATAAACTGCCATGAATGAGAATGACTATTGAGTTGGCAAGTTGTGAAAGCAGTGGCGGTTCTAGACATATTTTACTGGTGGGGCCAGTGTTTAATCACAGGGGCACATTAAAAAACAACGACAATGATATTCAAGCACTAAAAACTTTTATTTACTTCATGATAAGATTAAACAAATGTTTTTTTTTGTGTTTTTTGTTTGTTTGTTTTTTGTTTTTGTGTTTTTTACAAAAAATACATCAAGTGAAACAATGAGGTTATCGGAGCCAGTACTGAAATGTGTAACATAACAGGGAGCCTCCAGCAAGAGTTCCACACAACAACTGCGAGGTGTAACTTTGTGTAAATATAACAATAAATATAATAACAATAAAATATATAACGTATGTTATATATTACTAATACAATAATACACATATATTGAACCCACAACCACTGCTGCACCACTCAACCTGTTACACATACAACTCATTTAACAAGTAATGTTAACCATCCATACTTAGCAGGGGTGGATGCTGTTGTTTACTTTACTCACCCCTGGTCCTATGAAACAGTCCTGCATCATGTGCTGTCCTCGCGGAGGAAGTATCATCATCAAGTACGCTGATGTTCCAATTGCACATTAACCGGGAGTCCCTATATGTCCAGTAGACAGCACCGGAGTACAGTTTGGGTGTGTCACTCTGATTCATCGTATAGAGCCACATTAGTTTCGATTTCGACGCTAGTGCATGTCATCGTTATGAAGTGATCAGTTTATTACTCAGTCAGAGGGGCCAGCACAGGGGCCAGCGACATTTGAACAGGGGCACTGGCCCCTGTAGGCCCCTGTGTAGAACCGCTCCTGGCTGTCGATTATGTAAACAATGAAAAACATAAAATCCTCACGTTATTAATTTAGAATAGTCCTTTCAAATCGGCAGAAGTTAGTAACAAATAAAGCATTCCCCCACAGTGAATGTTTATTTACAACCATTCACTAATTGCAAATAAATGAATGCTGGTTCCAATTCCCTTCTATAACTGCAATACAGAAGGTCAGAGGTCAAACGCAGGGGTTTATTGGAGTATTCATGATGGGCTCAAGGAAAGCAACAAATGTGTGGCTAGAGCCCCTGTAAGGCATTTTAAGTTAATTCAGCTTTGGAATTTAAATTCCCCCACTGTCTTTAAAAGGTGAGTTTACTGTACTTCAGTTGAATATTTAGTTTAAAGTTAAATCAACTGAACTGACAAAACAGACACGACCATGAGTTGAATCACCCAGTCATATAGACAAAGGTTACAGACGGATTTACTCTACATTTGACATATTCTGAGTTTTAAGACTTTATAGTTATTTAACATAGAGAACTTACAGCTTCCAGAGTCAGTATAAACAACCTGTGAGGCTGCTCCTGGTTACAGCGAGATTTTCAATTAACTAGGAATTCACCTCTTTATCTTGGGTAAACTGGAAAATATGCGTGGATGAAACTAATTTCCTTTATGATGTTCTACAGTGCACAAACAAAAGTGTAATTTAGGTCTATAAAAGTAAAATGAAGTCGACTATTCAGTGTCATTAAAGCTTCACAGCTCACAAACACTCATATAAGAGTGATTCATCATATAATGTAGCCTTATAAAGTACCACTAATTGATTCTCAGCTGTCCTTATCAGAGTGGATTTTCATATTGAATGCCTCTGAATCAAAATGATAGCCTACTGTGGTATTGCATGGCTGTAAATGTAAAAAAAAAAAATGAAATAAAAAAAATAAACTTGCTATCAAAGATGCTTTTCCTATCTTGCAAATGACTGATGGTTTGTGCTGCAGCTGCTGTCAAGCCTTTGCCTCTGACATTTCCAGAAACCTGTTCGCTGGTGTGTTCTGCAGGATGTGTCGCAGCTGCTTCCCACGCTGGTAAAACTTTTTGTATTTCAGATGAGATGCAAAGTCACTTCCTACAAGCTTCTCTAACCTGCGATGATCCGCGCAGATTCGCAGCCTACGACTGAAACTTTTTTTCTTTTTTTCTTTTAGAGGAAATCAGCAGAAAAAGCCGTAATCGCGTCCTGGTCGTTGATAACCCGGGGCAGGCTGGATACAGTTTGACAGTTTGCTGAAGCTGCAGATGAAGTTCGAGATATTTTAACCTGCCTCAACAGGAAACGAGAGAAAGAGCGCCGCTGTCACACAACTGAAACCTGCGTCGATGAAGGTAAAGCTGCTCTTCGTTTGTCAGGATTGTTTGCTTTAAATAGAATTTAGAAAAAGAAACTCTGAACACGTCTGATTGATTTAGTTATAAACACAACCGGTGGACACTTTTAGAGGAGAGTGAAGAAAGTATTATTCATATTTTTATGTGGTTGTTATTTATGTCCTACAATGGTGGACTTCTGTAATCAGTAAAAACTACAAATCTCTCATCTCTATATGACAGTGTTGCATCTACACTATGATGGGGCTCATGTCAAAGTTATTTGGCATTAATGAAACGGTGAAGCATTGATCTTTTTACTGTACTGTACCTCACATCATTTTCTAAAGCTGCTATCTGTGTGTGTGTTATTTGATCTGCTCAGTCTGATGCATGCACTTTATTTGAACATACAGATATTGTTTTCTGTCATTTATGCTCACTTCATGGTTTATCATTTTGTCAAGTTTACTCTTATCCTGAAAAAAAAAAGTTTATTTTAGCTGTTGACTTGACCTTCAACCTCAGCTTGATGCATTATCATTGTGCTCATTGTATAGTTTAATTTATATTATAGGTATACTGATATTTGTCTAATACCAGCTTTGTATTTATGTTTTCATGCAGCATCCACACATATGTGCTCATGTCCAGTGGCGCTCACATTATTAGTAGCATTTCTAGACAGAATAAATATCAATTTAAAAGCACAAATGAAGAGACTGCGATACTATAGTAGTTGTGGCTGACAAGTCACGCAGAATTAATGTCTTTCTCGTCTACCGTTTCAAACGTTTCTCTTAACTTGCCAGAGAGTTCAGTTGTTGCATCCTGTCAGTTATGTTTGGTAATAAAAGTTCAACTTTAATAATAAATGATAGTGGCAGAAAACATAATATAATGTAAAAAATATTTGCGGTTTCAGCCTTTGAAAGCAAACATCAATGGGAATTTTAAACTGGATTGTCAGGATTTCCCTCCCCCTGACTGTGTCCTTGTGCTTCAACAGCTTCGACCCCACCATGTTCCCTGGCCGTCTGTGAACTGAGGCCATGGAGAGCTCGTCCTCCACAGTGAGGCGGCGAGCCTGGATCAACAGCAGCCGACAGTGGCCCACTCTGGAGGAACCTGACGGGCCGCTGTGCAACTTCCAGTCAGCCTCTATAGCGGACGACGACGTCTTTTCTGATGGTGAGTGCAAATTCAGGGCTTTGGGAGATTTCTATCACACATCTGTACATTATGTACAAGTTATGTAACAAAGAATTCACTGAGCTTGGAGACACCTATGACTCAGTAATGATTTTCAAGGAAGTGGGATATTTTGTTCCTTGTTTATTAGCACCGGTCATTTCTGTCATTGCAACTTCACACAATAGTGGCACATATAATAGAGAAATGACAGTGCTTCCCTGCAATTAGAAGTTCCATATTTGTTTTGTTTTGTTTTTTACAACAGAATGTTTAAAGTGAATATTTATTGTTTGAATGTTTGTCAGAAAAGACAAACATGAATATAGATATTTATTTAATGGGATTTACTCATGAACCTAAGTGTAATTTCCACAGGATGCTTCACAGGAAAGATTGAGAACTGGCTCCTCGGTTGTGGGTGAGTCAACATGCTTTGCTGCTTGTTATTGTTCTGAGATGATATTATTTTGAGCGCTGACTCTCAAGGCTCTGAAAGACAATATGTCAGTCACTGGAAAATGGTTAGCAAACAACAGAGAGTAGAGTGGAAACTCTCTGAAGTCAGGTGTTCCAGGAAGACATGTAGCAAGATACTGTTTTTCACAACAGTTTTAGATGATGCATTTTACAGTTTAACTGTGAAAAAATAGGTGCTGACTTTAAAATCACTAAATGAGTAATGTGACTTGATCTTTAGCTGATTTGGCAAAGTTTGTTCTTAGGAAATCTGCCAGTGGTCAATGTCACAGCAGGTTATGATTTTAAAACGGTCACTGTCAAGATATAGATGCAGACATGTCTAGTCTTCAGTGTTAAAGCTGTTTCACAAAATAAACAACCATAACAATAAAACAAAACAAAAAAAAAAACCCAAAAAAGCTTCAGCCTTGGACTTTCTAAAAATGTCCTTGTGGTGTAGAGTAACCCAGTTATATAACTGGAATAAAATAACAGTTCCTTCTGTTATGAAACTGATTGGAGGAAGGACATAGCATTATTTAATGTCTCATATGTCTGTAATTAGAAAGGAAGCTGCACTGGTGGTATTTAAAGACGTGCACCACACAGTATGTCTGCATCGAAAGGCCCATAACACTAGATAAGCATACAATAAACAGAATAGTTAGTGGTTAAATGCATTCTCAGAACTCAACATGTAAATAACCACATTGAGAGGCGTTGACCATAACGTTAATATTTCTCCAAGAGGAAGTCGACAAGACTATACCAGCCTTTTGAAAGCTGATTACTGAGTAGATCTCACAAGCTGGTGCTGTGACCAGGCTGCTATCGAACTCTAGATGAAACCATTTATGCAAACACAATTGCTTATTTGGTAGAAGCATGCAAATGCAACAGACTGGGTATGTGCGCATTTATGTATGAAATGCTGCTTTACAGGTCAGATGCCAGCAAAGACAGCAGCGGTCAGCTGAGTTTTGGTGAGTGTGAACTGACACAAACCTTGTCAAGATTGACAATGTATTGTTTATTGTAACTCAATTTAGATTTTTTTATTTTTTGCACTTAACATACTTACTGTTGAATTTAGTATAGTAAAATCAGCTTGAATGTGCAGAGTCCAAAAAATGTAGTTTGTTTGTTTTGACCCCTTTTGGAAGGAAATTTACTGAATCTGCACTACTACAAAATAAAAGTACATAATCACAGTGAAGTCAAAGTCTTGCATTAAAAATGTTAATGAAATGGTTCGTATGTTATGTTATGTACTTAAGTAATGGCCCCTGTTACACTATTAAATATAGTAGATTATTAATAGCATTTTACTGTTGTAGTTAGTTAAGGTCGACCTAATTTAAAATATTTCTATTCGTTTGAGTTGTACAACCTCTGATAGTACATCATGTTTAATAAGTTAAAGCTGTCAAAGGAGTAGAACATTCAAGAATTACTTCTGAATGACAGTGGAGCAGAAGTATTAAGTTGTACGTAGGTACTACAGTCAAGTACAAGTACCTCAAATTTATCCCTAGTTTGGTTATTGACCTAAATTTACATTCTGGACATGAAATTAGCATCACGTACTTACATATGTAAATCCTTGACTGTGTCCTTTCTTCAGAGTCTGTGCTGCAAGCCAACAACTTTGCTGATGACCTGAGTCTCGGAGCTGATGGTGAACACACATTGTATATACACATGTACACATGCATACACAGTTTCATAGTGTTTACATCACTTTAAAGAACATTACATTGACTTACATTTATTTACTGCAGTTTCCATAACCTGGTCCTTTACCTAAAACCAATCTTCAGCTTTGTGCCCTCACAGCATGAGTAGACACACACACAAAGTAATGAAACAGGAAGCGTCTGTTACGAAAAACATTGGATGAATTTTTAAATTTTATTTTGTAATAATGAAGACATAGACAGACTGACCCACTTGTCCATTTCAACTGTAATAGGACACTAAAACATCCAGTGTTGCGAAGTATTACTGTACCTCTGCCAAGGAGGATGCTTTTTGAGAAGGGGAAGTACATGCTACACAGTTCTTTTTTGTTAACATGTCTAAAATTATGTTGTAAAAGGTAGCAGTTTAAAAGAAAAAATAACTATGTGTTAATTAATATATCTCTCTACAATATATTTTACAATCAAAGCAATAACTTAGGATGTAGCTGCAGGGTAAAGAAGGCCTTTAGCATAATCGCAGTGTTTTAGCTTTATTGTAGATTTTAAAGATAATTGCTGTTATCCTAAAGATTATATGGCACCAGGAATAATCAACTTAAGGGTCTGTTTATTTGGAAAAATGAACCAAGGCCGGTCTATTATTTTTTTAAAAATGAGGTGTAGGAAGAAAGGACACATAACCATAAAATATTAATCCAAATATGCACTGGTGTTAAAAGTGCATCACAAATGGATTTCAAATTTCTAACTTTTTTTTTTTTTGCAATTATATGTTACATCAAGGACTAGTCATCTCATGCAATTGGTTAGAGATGCTGCCATTGACTTTTGGTTATTTGGATGACAGAATTTTAAGGGGAGATGTGTTTCCTATGAATACAAGTGTATCTCCTTTTTATACTATATGGATTTTTAAACAAAGCTAACTTAAAATACACTCCAAAGTGTCCAAATCAACTTTGGAAATCATAACTTAACCACTTCAATCATTCAACAAGCAAATCATGGAGTTATCAAAAGCAGAAACTATCTAACAAAGTAAACTCACACTTCATTCACACATTCCAGCCACTGACAAATAAGGCATCCATGTGACGTAAGACATGTTCTTTGTTCAAAGAGAGTCTGGTTCAGGTGAGCTGGCTGCCTCTATACACAGGAAGCATACACTGGGTGAGGGAAGAGTAGAAGGGAATTTTCCTCATGTGTTATGTGATAAAAAAAAAAAAATCTTAACATGACACCCTAGGTATCAGTTTATCTTTTGTAAACATGGTATGTGACTTAATCCTTGAGTAACCAGCTGGTACAGATACTTCAGCAGCTGTATGACATCCTCTGTGAACATGACTGTGTGTCCCTGGAAGAGCTGTGACATGAATCCAGATTTTACCAGAGTAACTCCCCCAGTACAAACACACAGACACATATATAGAGGCACAGATTTGCAAATGGACTATGAAACCAGCATTCTGATGTGTATCAATATATGTTTTTTAAATTCTGAAATGATTTCTTTATTTCAGCTTCTGTGTTAAGTACTGGAGGAATTCCATCTGAAGCGAGGTGAGTAGAAACTGTCATCTATGATAGTAACAGTGAAACAACAAGAAACAAACTGTTTTACTAATGATTAGATTGATTTAGTAAATGTTCAAATATATGAACCCAGGTTGCTTTGGTCATAGTGGTGACAGCAGCCTTTTGTATGTTTAACTCCATTTTCTACTAACCCTACATGAACACAATTTATTCAAAACAGCGATTTCTCACATTTTAGTTCAACTAGGAAGCATGTGAACTGGAGCCCTACACATACTGGATTTTTGGCGCTGATGCCATACCAACTTTAAGAGTAAAAAAAATCCTCTATTGAACATGTATCTTTATACATGTATACATATGCTAGAATTATATTGCAAAGGAAAAATTATGGGTCCAGCAATGGGTTTCACAAACTGCTAAGCAGCTTACCATTAAAACGCAGCTTGACTCAGCTGCCCACTTACGATACAGTCTCTTCTACATGTGCTGCAGGCAGAGTTTTGTAAACAACAGCGCTCGGCTGGATGAACTATGTGATGATTTCTAATCTACCTAAAATATATTTTTCTGCATCATGTTCCTAAAAAGGTTCTGTCTGGGTTCTCCGGCTTCCTCCCACAGTCCAAAAACATGTTGAGGTTAATTGGTGATTCTAAATTGTCCGTAGGTGTGAATGTGAGTGTGCTTGGTTGTCTGTCTCTAAGTGTGGCCCTGTGATTGTGACTGGTGACCTGTCCAGGGTGTCCCCTGCCTTTGCCCTAAGTCGGCTGGGATAGACTTCAGCCCCCCTACCACCCCAGCGAGGATTAAGCGGTGTATAGATAATGGATGGACGAATGGATGTTCCCAAATAGAAAAAAATTCATATCGGCTCATATTGTACAACATGTATACTGATACCAACATCTGTGACAGGTCAATAGCACTTGAATGTAAAATTAATTAGCCATTATATGGGGACATTTTTTAGTTTTAAAGAATATATGAAGTTAAACTAGTAATTAACAGTCTGTTGCTATTTTTCTTCTTTTTTTTTCTTGCTCTGTGCTGACCATGAAGCCTGGCACGGCATCCTTCCCTCAACCAACAACGCAAACTCACCACCAGGTCAGTGGTCAACTTCCTCCTCAACTCATAATGAGAACAGATCAAAAAATAATTCTGATGTCAAATTATCTGCTTTGGACTTGTTCTGTAGAGTTTTATTTTTCTATGTTTTAAAATGCAAACTAAAACCAGTGTGAGGCATTTTTCATATACATATGCATAAGGTAACATTTTTCATGTGTCTTGTCTGAAGCACCCCTCGTCAGGGACTATGGCTGCCATCACTGAACCTGGGTCACAGCATGGCATCTAGCTGCCTCTCCTCCTCCACCTGGAGAAGTACATCGAGGTCAGGCTTTTAAAGACTTTATTTTTCAGTAGGTCCAAAAACTTGTGACCAACCTCTTTGCTTTTGAATGACCTACATAGCAGCAGTTTCTTGTTGTTTTTCCCCTAATATTAGTCTTTTTGTGCCTTGGTTTAACCTGGATAACATAGTGTGTTCCCATTTCATTGTATTCAATAGTATTTCATCCTATATCCTTTTTTAGGTTATGTTTGCGTTCGTCATTATTGGTCCCTTGGTATAGAATTTTATAAAACATTTTGAACTTTAAAGGGCTGTACAGTCTTGAATACTGAACTCTATCTCTTTCTTATACTAGTGTATCAGAGGTCCTGCAGTTGTGTTCAGAGGATGCAGAGGAAACTCTGTATGAGCTGGGTTTTGGCTGTGAAGAGCCACAGGTTACTGTGCGCATCCCTCCTCGCTTCTTCACGTTTCCCTCTCAGGCTCAAGGCATCAATTTCCGCCTCTTCCTGGACTCACAGCTGCGGCGGATAAGAGAAGAAGACCCCAGCCTCTCTCTTGCTAGTAAGACTGGAGTTATTAAATCACTCTGCTGCAGGTTATCTTTCATAGCTTTGCAAAGTGCATAATGTAGCTTAATGTGTGATAAGGTGAAACAATTCTGGGTTGAGATCTTTTCATTCATTATTCTTATCACAGGTCGTTTCAGACAAGTGCAAGTGCTCACAGCAATGGCCAACGCTTTCTATTCCCTCTACTCCCATGTGTCCCGCACTCCTCTCCAGAAACTGGCCACACCAGAGTTTACTTTTTCTTCTCCTGTGGAGAGGATTGAACGATTCAGGAGCAATGTTCGCAGCGAGCCGCGGTCTCCGGTGGAGAGACTGAAGGACACAGTAAACAAGATGTGCCTGTACACAGGCTCCCCCCGTGGGTCAGACTCCACTTCTCCACAGCCTTCTCCCAGGAAAAGACACAGCCTCCCCGAAGTCGTGGATATAGTTCTGAAAGGCAAGACTGGGGCTACCAAGAAGCTGGATTTGGGGGAACACAATATGAGTAATTCAGCTGTGGATGTTAAGCTGATCACAGATACAGCGTGTTACAGTGGGAAGGACACGCAAACACAGCAGACTGATACAGACATGAATCAGAATGCAAATAAAATCTGTCACAAAAAAATGCAGGACCATAAACAAACAGATAATGTTGATGCTGTTGAAAACAGTGTCAACAGTGTCAAACAAACAGATCTGGACAGGATGACTCACAGTGTGAGGACATCTCTAGCATCCCGGCAATCAGAAGGAACTGTGTTGGAAACAGAACATCAGTTGCTTTCATGTCAGCCAGAGCTGGACTCACGTTTGATTCAGAGGAACTCGAGGACAGCTGAACTAGAGCCTGTTGCCATGACTACATATGATCTAATCTGTCCGCAGATAGTTGAGAGTGTACACCAGGCGCCTTTCCGCCATCAAAACACACACAGTCCAAACAGTGTACTTCATATCTCCTCTGACTTAGAAAGCACAGATAGATCATGTTCTAGATCACACAAACCAAATACACAAACCACCGTCTGTGCGCCTGATGAGGATTCATACAAAGACATTGCCTCTTCAGGAGAGGCCACACAGCGGGATACATCCACATCACTTCCTGTCCTGGAGCCCAATGGCAACTACACTCATTATTGCATCACTGTGACTGGCTGGGAAGAGGATGAATCTATGTGTTCTTTGAACACACCAGATTCCTGTCATGCTTCATTTCACTCTCATGTCCAGACATGTGCAGAGTCATTTAATGAGGGGGAAAGACAGTACCTGAATCCTGTGACACATCAGGGCCTGAACCACGTCTCCTGTAACCTTCAGCAGGTTAACTCCTTCGAGCTGGAAGAGGTACAGTAGTTTGAAAACAGTTCTGCATATGTAGTATGAAATCTAAAGCTAGATGATGCTGAAAAAATAACATATTACGTCCATTATGATGATTAAAAAGTCATGATTTCACCAGATTTTAATCTCTATATCTTCATTTGTAATGAGTTTGTTATTTAACTAACATTTAGGTTGATTTGCTAACTCAGTAATGACTCGTCAACCCAAGTTAAAGTCTGTCAAGAAACATGATGATAGAATTTATCATCCTATTCCTACATACAGTCAAGCAGCCTAATACTCTTTCCTCAGTGGATGATGTTTAGTTTTGGTTGCTGACTCATATGTAGCTCTTTAGTGTGGTGTTAAGTGTAATTGTCAAATAAACTAGTTGCATCATAGTAGTGAAGCACCGCCAACACAATGCCTGATGTGGCACCATAACATTTTTATGAAACTGCTACAGTGTCAGAGAATTTTTACCTTCCTAATATTTCATAAGTTATGGTTAAAAGATTTTTGTGCTGTCAGTCATTTGTCATGCAGGTAGGCATGCTTGCAAAACCTATGAAATAATTAATCATTCTACATAACAATATTTTATTTTTCAGATGGATTAGAAAAGAAAAAATGGACAACTATTATAAATCAACCTGTGATAAAAAGGTTTAAGTAGTGTACTGTGATGGACCCCTTTAAGTGATCATAGTGCATCTTTGTAATTATATTAGTGTACAAGGGGATCTTGATGATAAAACAATATATTGTTCAGCTCTAATGATATATAATTATTCTTGATGTTGATTCCTAATCATAAAAGAGTTACAACAGGTTCAGTATATAAAATATATATTTCATATTTTTGTCTCCGTAGGTGCATAGTGCAGGAGAGGAAGATTTGGGACAATCAGACACAACAAGAACGTCAACCTTACCATTGTCTAAGAAAAGTCAACACAAAGGTACTGTATGTTTTATGTTTTCACTGACAACTTCAGCATGAACATTTTTTGTTGGACCTAATTTCAAAATAGCTGCTTGTAATATGCTGAAAGGTATTTTGTGTGATCAGCAAATTTGTTTGTTAATAGCAAAAACTGAATGCAACTAGTTAAAATGGTTATATTTAAAAGCATGTTGTGAGGTAACAACAAATTGTGTATGATTTTGAGCACAAAGTTTTTTTGTGAGAATTCTTTTTCGTCACACAAAACAGTACTTTAGTTTGGGGCCATTGTAGGTCTTGTACTGAGGATCTGTGAGGAATTAAATTTATAAAGTGAGAATTAATTTATCATTAGACAAGGGCTTGAGGTATGTTTCTGTATGTGCCTTCATGCTTATCTTTACATCAGACTGCAGCTGCATTTGAGCAGTAGTGCACAGTGTGTGTAGACCAACTCTGACTGGGTTTGTACCTTTTGTAGGTGAAGTGGTCCGGGGTGACAGTATGCAGTCCGACAGCAGCGGCTACGCAGATGAAGAAGTCAGTCCCTCATCAGACAGACACAGTAGATGACAGAAAACCCATTTGAACAATTTGCACAGCAGCATTTCTCATCTGTGAACCCTTTTTCTGCACTGAAGAACATTGTAAAACTAGTGAATTGAAGCAAGGACTTAAGTGAAACAGCTACAAAAGATGAAACTGTCAAATGTATTTTAAGACTCACATACGAAGATGTCAGTGGCTCTACACTCAAAAAGAAGCCTTTTTTCCAACATTAAAAGTTTTAGTGCGAAGCTTTGCGTTTTTCACAAGTGCTTTTAGTAAACACAGAATATTGCAAATAAGTAAACTCAAAAGGTTTTGAAGAAACAGTGTGGATTGTATGTTACCATGTGAAGGACTGTATTTAATTCATTACAACAACAGCAAAACTGACAAAAAATGTTTTATTGAAAACAATTTTCCATGGAGCTTATCTTTCATTTACATCTTTTTAAACTGGGCAACATTTTCTCCTCCAACCACAAAGTCAAATTTAATGTCAGCATTGACATCAATGGTGTCAGCATTCATTCAAACCCAGCGGTTAACTTCCTTTTTTAAATTATCTGAAAAACATTATGCAGATCTGCCATTTCAGAGAATGAGGTCAATGTTGCGTCAAGCACTCTGAACTTGGTGCCAGTGCTGGTAGATGTACAGAAATGTGGTCAGACTGCATTGTGCAAAAGATCTTTTCTGTAATAGTGCAAACTCTATTCTATTTTCAATACTTATATTAAGTGAGTGCAATGACCAATATGGAACAACAGTGAGGTCAGTTGTGGCGAAACCTTACACCAAGACACAACAGGTAGTCGAAGAATATAATCTGGAAAATCATCATCAGTTTTTAAATGTCATAACTGGAGTCACATTCATGTTGGCAGAGAAAAAAAGTAAACAGAAAAAAGGGGGGTTAAATGATTAAAAAAAAAAAACAAAAAAAAACAAAACAACAACAATACTGAGCATAACAAGCACAAAAAACATTATTGAGGTAATAATATTGAAACGCCACATTAGAATATGTGGCAGCTTTGTATGGTCTGTGATATAGAAAGTTAAAAGTAAGGTTTTAGTATGTTCAATAACAAGAGTAAGGCTTTTATCATTAAACTCAATGTACTTCTTTCTCTATCAGGCCAGTCACAAATGTGTCAGAAACTGATCGACAAAGCGCCTCATGCAAAACTTTCTAAAACTTTACACCAAATTTGAAGTCACAACCTTAAACAAAGATAGCTTGGCCGAACAGTAAGAACATCACAGACACAAACAGTTTAAGTTTCTGGGGTCAAATCAAAATACAACAAAAAACAAAAGCCACATTTTCCTGCTCATCTGTAAAAGGGTCCTTCTTTACAATAATTATCCTCTGATATTTATTCGGCAGAGTCTCTGTTCCTCAGCATTTCAACACCATGGCTAGAGTGTTTTTTTGTTTTCATCCAACCATGAGAACAGTAATTCAACAAATCACCAATAAATCCAACACCCAATTTTACAAACCCCTTTGACCTTTTGTACTATTTAACTGCATCTGAATTTGTCTGGAGTTCCTTGGGACGTGGAAGTCACTGCATAAGCACCATTTATAATTTAGATGAACTTTTGAAACTTTAGATTTAGGAAAATACAGTGAATGACATGAAGACAAAAAGCAAAAATACTGAAACTACATTTTTTAATTACTTGTGACAAATATGCAAAATGTCAAGAAGGGGGGCTTATGAGTTTTTTTGGTAACTAAATTATCATTGGCAACAACTACATGTCAATAGGACTAAAAGGAACTCGCAGGGTTAATTTGAGGGCACACAAAGTCTCTATTTCCAAATTTGAGGTATTCACATTATTTAAACTCATCACAAAAGTGCCTCCGCTGTCCATAGTGGAAATTTATGATGGCATTGTGTAGACGAGTTTGAGTCTGTGAGGAGGAAATCATCGAGGCCTATCATTTCCCTCCCGCCATGATTTTGAGGTACTGCAGTGCATTGTGGGCCGCGTTGGCTCGAGCAGCATCTATATTCGGAGCAAAGCCGTGGCACACTGTGATTGGCTGTGTGGACAGCTCCACGAGACACTGACACAGGCCGCTGAGACTGCGCTCCTCTGAAACAAGAACGAACAAAATCATTACAAAACATAAACCCGTTCTTAATTATTTTGTCTGGTAGTTGCACTTTTACAAAGTAATAGATATTTCCAACATCATTATAGAGCTGAGAATAAAAAGGAGAATTGAAAATATCAGTCTCTATGAAGAAAACAAAAATGTGTCTCAGTCTTTAAATATGTTTGCCTTTAAAGAGCACAACAGTATATTTCAGTGGCTGATATTATCTCCTATAAATCTGTTTAGAGATTTTATAGCTGTGATCCTTCACATTCCGTTAAAGCCAGATACCAGCTGGACTTCAGATAAAGTCCTATCCTTTCCTTTTAAAGTTTTAAAATGTATTGCTCTAGTTAAGTTTAAGATAAAAGTATTGGATCAAAAGAATCCCACACATTGTAACAATAAGTGAGTAAATAGAAACTAAAAGAAATAAATGTGAAAATGAACATGAACAATCCATTCCATGACATGGTAAGAAGTGGTAAGTAAGCAGGGTATAACAGTAGACAGCATATGCGCAGGAGTATCACATATGAGATATATTGCACCTGTAACATAATATGGTATTTATAAAAAGCACAAGAAAAATATAAAAACTACAATAACGCCTTTTTTGTAATTTCATGAGTCATACTCCTTGTAGAATGTAAAATAATGACAGTTGTGCATCACAAGTTCTAATTCTACATAACAGAAAAAATAAAATAGATAAATATCTGTAATTCAACCAGTCATTTTAATGTAGTCCCAACATGCCACATGTAAAACTGTCATCTTAAATTACGTCCATCTGTGAAGCGACGTCCGCAGATAAAATGGTTCCCCACAAAACTGAGACATCGTGCAGCTGCAGATCACTTCCTCCTCATCTGATGACTGTAATAGTAACCGCACAGCAAGCCATTTGTTTTCTGGCATGACATCAAAATGTACCCGTGACACTCTGCCGAGCGCAATGAGAGGCTTACACACCCTAATAAGGTTTATCATATGCACAGTGAAAGTTGGCCTGAGTTATCACATTTGCATGCTATTAAAACTAAACTGTCTGTAATCTCACATTTGGAAATGTAGGCCGTGATGTCCATGACCCCACATTTCTCTTTACCCTGTCAATGTTATACTTCTTTTGATCAATGTAGCATCAGTGTGGTGTTCTATAGAAGTGAATATAAGATCGATTTGAGTTCTACTGTTTGTGAACTTACCTAGATCCAGGTAACTGACATCGAAGCGCTGCTCCACGGACAGGTCACTCAGCAAAGAGCAGAAGTTAGAATCAGAAGGCATACCCAGAGGGTGACTGCGGAGCTGGAGGATCTTTTCTCCAGCGGAGTTACGCAGAGAGTCCCATGTACAGCTGAAACCTTTACTTTTTCCTGACTCAGCTCTGCTTCCCATGTGCTGTATGTACAGGGGGAAGATACGTTTTGGTAGAAATTAGTGGATATTATCATCATCCAACAGCAATATTCATGAGACATAAAAGTTGGAACAGAATACAGGGCTCCAGACTAACATTTCACTGGGAGCACTGGTGTGACCACATTTCTCAGTTGGTCGCACCAGCGCATTGTTTTGTCGCCCCCTCCACCCTTCACATCCTTATTTTGGTACAGCATCACCACAACTGTTAATCCACCTTGCATGCTGATGAATAGTTGACTAGTTGTCATTGCAAAACCTACCCTTTGCACTGACATAAAGACAGACTTTACAACAATGCAAAACTACAAGACTGAAAAATTGTTAAATATTTTAATCTAAAGATATATTCATTTTGTCACCATTCTTTTTTGCTATCAGTCCTACAAACTGGTCAGGCTAAACTCCTCACTTGCTGACCATCTGCTTATTGACAGACACTACTATTTTCAAATGTTCCCTAAATGCTTCACATGCAGACTAAGGTAAGTGCTCACCAGGTGGCTGCAGTAGCGTCAGACAGCTGTGATTCCAAAAATTGTTTTGGAAAAGACTGCAAAAACACATCCTACTGTCAGTTTTGGCAAAGCAACCTGCACTTCAAACATCAGGACGGTGGTTGATCGTGTTGATTTAATTGTAGGTCAAAATTGTGATCTCTGTTCATATTAGTTTTGCGCTTCAGGCCTAGCACTGCATTAACCATCGTGATTGAGTGTAGTGAGATGCTTTTCTTTTTAACTGACTTAGTTGAGATCTCTGCCTGCACCTGCACCCTTTATCATCAGGTATGTCTGAGTCGGACCTCTCACTCTCTCCACATTTAAAAAAAAAAAAAAAAAAATCCACTATAAATCATTTCATACTTGGAACACAGTAACATTGAAATTGATTGTTTCACATGTCAGGCAGGGAGGGACTTACTGAGCCAGTAAAGAAGAAAAAGTACGACTTTCAACCACAATGGCTAACACAGCAGCTGCCAGTGACAGCTGGAGTGTCTCCAAATCAGCCTGATGATCATCGTACACTAGTACAAATGTGACCACATGAAATTTTATCTCTCAACATATGGTCACATATGCAACCCTTTTGGTCACAGTCTGGAGCCCTGAAGAACAGTCTGAAGGACAACCAACTGGAACAAAAACATGGGAATCACTATTACTACCTGGTATTTAACTAGATGTTGAAGTCATGCATCCTTTCCTCTAATGATGCCAAACTATTTTCTTGGCTCTTTATAAACTTTGTCATTGTACTGGTGCACAAAGTAAGTGTACTTGTTTGTTTCTCACCATGGTAAATGTGTCTTCTTCTGTGTCAGCGTCATTGCTGGTCCTCAGGTCTACTGGGACATCATGGATACGTGATAACATCTTAGCTGCAGCGTTTCTCTTGGCTAGTTTCTTAGATGTACCGCTTCCTGGAGTAGAAGAGGAGATTATTGATCGATGTACTGATTGTCATTCAGTAGGACATAACAACACAAGCAACCTAAAGACTGCTCAATTTAACAAGCCTAAATTGGGATGTTAACACTTAACTTAGTCAAACTTAGATACAACAGGAACAGAATAGGACTCGAACTAAACTGTACAATAGAAATAAAATATATATGTAAAGCTAGGAAAACATGAGAAACACACACACACACACACACACACACACATATATATACACACACACACAAACATACATATGTACTCATGTCAGAGACAAAAAAATGAATTAAGGAAAAAAGAAACAAGTCCAAGAGAGAAGTAAGCTCAGGCAGCCACTGTGGTGCTATCTTAGTTGTGAGTCAGAAAAGATACAGCACATACGATTAGCTTCACTTTCACTGAGCTGTATTCTATTCTATTCCACCAACTGCCCCAGCGACCCGACCTCGGATAAGTGGAAGATAATGGATGGATGGATGGATGTATTCTATTGACACTGTTTTAACTGCATTTTTTAACTGCTGGGTGCATATAGCATGATTAATAGAATGTAAGGTTTGACCTTGACCATAGTCAGCCACCTGCAACACACACACACACACACACACACACACACACGCGTGAGCGCGCTGAGAAAATGAAACATCAAGCAGTGTACCAATTTCTACAAATCTCTCGACTCTGCAGGTCATGGTAAACTCTTTGCGATGTGCTGGGCCAGACTCCTGGGTGACTGTGTACTCTGGCAAACGCCATCCTTTCTGCACCACTAATTCCTGAAAGAGAAATAAACAAGAAAAAAAGCATAAAACAATCAGCTATACAAATATTGTAATTACACAAACAATGAAAACATTTATTAGTGGACATTCAAAGAGTGAAATAAAACCTCAGTAGTAATTTTTGTTTATTTACCTGCAGAGCCCCTACAGGGTTACATTCAGACTGCTGAGAACTGCCTGAGGTCTTCATCTCTGACTGGGAGCTACACAGAAGTTGAAAGAAAAGAAAGCAGAACAGGAAATAATGAAACCACACAGACCTCTAGCTTGTATTTGTTCAACACTGAAACATTCTCCATAACAGTCAGGTCGGTCTGCCTCATGATAAGCCATTAGATCTGTAGAGACTAGTAAGCTATTCATGTGGGTAACAAAAACTAAAGCTGAATCCTCAAGTTTTCTAAAAAACATGAAATTAAAACAGGAAACCGACCCGTCTCCATCAGCAGGCACATCAACCCCAATAAATCCGTCTACTCCAACACTGACTCCAGCGGGACCTCCGAGGCCTCCCTTGAGCATCTTCAGAGCAGCCTCAGCTGCTTTGTGCTTGGCTGCCTTCTTGCTGGGTCCTTGGCCGGTGCAGCTGATCTCTCCGACGGAGACGCGGAATGTGAAGTTGGGCTGGTGGGCCTGTCCCTCGGCCTTGAGCAGGTCATACACTGGGGTCTTGCCTATCCGCGTTCCATACTCCTGCAGCAGACTGATGGGCGTCTTTCCGGGATTCACAGCCAGCATTTGCTCAATACTGAACAAAAGTAAAACAAGTATGAGACTGACTGTCACTTTCAAGCTGACTTATTAACAAAGGGTTTTAATGAGACATGTCATTCCTACACTTTACAAGACACATTAAATAAACCTTAATAGAACTGTAGATCAGAACTATGGTATTACCCTTTTGTTTGGATCAGTCACTTTAACCAAATTAACAAGCAATTTTGCAATCCAGATCTGAGGAAATTTGTAAATCGCTTTAAGACAGGGCATTGAACACAACTGAATCAAAGATGGAATTTGAGACCAACAACAAGGGTCTACAAGGTTACTGTAAACGGTTATTCAAGGTAAACTAAATACCATTGACTTAATTTGTTTGGATGCAGCAGATATCTCAGCAGTGAAAATCTCACAACCAAAACAAAAATCATCCAAAACTATCCTATATCACAAGAGATAACTGGGAACTGGATTATTGTCATTTCTGATTAACTGCCCTCATAAATTAATGCTTCAAACAAACAAAAAAAGTTTAAGCAGTTTACACACAAAGAAAAAATGCAGGACAAGTAGGTGCAATGTAGTGAAAGTCTGTGCATTCTGATTTAAACCGTAGCACATATGATCAGTACAGAAAACAGTCTACAAAAGAAGCTAAATGTGCAAAGTTGTGCTTCGTCTTAAAGAAGAGTGTGTTTTGCCTTCGATAGTGCTCCTACACTATCCTCAGTGTTGTTATTTGAGCTACAGGAGAACTTGCAGCTGTCAATAACTATTTAGCGCACACTGGGAGAAGATGAATAAATGAAACTGATTTCCTTTAATCCAAAATTAATCCATGTAACACAGGGTAACGTGAGGGTACCACAGTTACGGTGAATCAACTTATGTGGCTGGAAAACTTGGCGTAAACACAGTTTATAACGAGGCAACTGGATGTTAGCACCGTGCATTGAGTCACGCTTGTACCAACTAAATTTACTGGATATTAGTCAGACTTAAAACTAGCAGCTTAGTGACAGCAGTGGTCAAGAAAATTAACTAATAAAAGGACCGAGATAATTCTCAGATTGGCTAGCCACGGTGCTATGCTAGTTTAGCCTTCGTGCAGCTTCACCTGGAGCACCCGGAGTTTCTCTTCCAGCTGTCCGATGCTGTCTCGTCGTTCATTCCCTATTTCACGCAGACAGAACCGGTAGGTTTCGGATGGCAAATCCCCCCACCAGAACTGACACTTGCTTTCATTAGCTGATATTTATTATTTTCCTAGACAGATGATGAGGCAGCGACATATGAAGAGCTGCAGACGAAGCCTCCTCTGCTCCGACAGACTACAGCGAATTCTATGAGGCGCACAGATATGACGTAAAGGCTTCCCGAGAAACTCGGTTGCTGATTGGCTCAAAGACACTGTAGGTTGGCCGAATTTACTATTCTATGATAAAGACTGGTTTCAACACTTGTTAAAGTCATGGTAAGGACCAAACCCAAACACTGTAACAAATATGATTTTATGTACAGTCTGTGCGATAAATAGAGCAAATAAAAGTGCACCATTCTAGGAATGGACAATTATTTCATCACTACAAAAAAAAAAAGTTTAAAATTTACCAGACTGGAGACTTTTGTAGAGAACTACAAAGCACCATTTATTTATTAAATAATTTAAGAATTCATTCATTCAACTTTAATCTAAACTTGAAGTACATTGAGGTATGGGAGCCAAACAAACAGACAAATATGAAACCTGGATCACAATAAAATGTTACAAGGCAAACAAATAATAAGATTTTTTTAAAAACATGAATTAGAGCATTTATGATTAAAAACAAAGGATTCCACTACAACAAGAACAACTGAGAAAAAAGCAAGTTAAACTTGAAAATCTGAGTTGTCCTAATGATAAACAATATGTCCAGCGTTAGATTGTTCTGTGTGTTCCTCCAGGTTGGAGATAGACTATGAATATTATGACCACTGACAAATCTTAATGCATATTGATAAAGAGTGTTCAAGAGCTTAAGAGTCACTGCTGAAATGTGCATGTACAAATTGTATGGTCCTAAACTGACAAAAGTTGCCTCAATAAGCATTTTTTAAGCTGCAGGAAACATGATTTATTCCCTTGAAAGAAACATATTTTTGTTATAGTTTAGTCACTAATTTGATATTTCAAAGTTAACTTATCACTTAAATTCCCAAATATTTGTTCACTGTAACTTTCATTCATTATTTGTACCATTCATGGTAGAGATGACCAGATTGTCATAACATTTTATTTTTTTGAAGTTGATGTACTGAATTTTATCTCCATTGAGAACTAATTTATGCTTGAGTGCAATAATACAAAATTGTGTCATCAACATAAAGATGTATATTATAATTGTAAACAGACGGGACAAGATCTTTTACATAAAAAGTGAACATCTTAGAACCACAATGATCACAAGGAGTGTATCCCGGCCGACTCAGGGCGAAGGCAGTGGACACCCTGAACAGGTCGCCTGTCTATCACAGGGCTACACTTACAGACAGACAACCAAACACACTCACATTCACACCTCCGGACAATTTAGAATCACCAATCAACAGTTTTTGGACTGTGGGAGAAAGCTGGAGAACAGGGAGAACATACAAATCCCATGCAGAAAGATCCCATGCACCCTAACTGGGACATGAACTGGGGATCTTTTAGCTGCGAGGCGACGGTGCTAACCACCAAGCCACCTTGCAGCACATATAATAAATATATATATACAATTTTACTTAAAGCAACAGCTGTTGAGCAAAAGTGCTTTTCAATAGAGAGAATAAGACTTGAATCATGAATCAACCTTACAAGTTTAAACATTTATACCCTATAATATCATTATTTATGCAAATTTACATGACTAATTTAAATATTAAGGTTAAGACTACAATATTATATATATAATACATATGAACTTGACTAGTTTAAATGTTAAGGCTAAGATATTTTATGACATAATATAATAGGTAAGCACATGCACCTACTAAACTTCAGTAGATTATAGTTGTTTCTGCCTTGTTTTGTAGGTTTTGGTTTTGTTCAATGCCCTACCATTTATATTTTTTTCTGTGTGCAGTAGCTGAGCTGTAAGTCATTTTGTTTGCACTTAGTTATACTAGAATTTGTTTTACTTAACAAGTTTTATGTCAATGTGCCCCTTTGTAGAGTAATTTGCTATGCTTAAATGGATCCAGAAGAGGGCGACAGCTGGTCACTGATCCTCCCAGCTGCCAGGCCTCTCGTTCCGGTGCCGGTACTGCTTTGGGTTTTTGGGTTGTCTAGCACCTGTCATCTCCATGATAGACACCTGTGAAACATGTGGGAAATTTCAGTAGTTTCATGGACTGAGTGTCCTAAAGCTAAAAAAGAGAGTTTGGAGTCAGATGTACTGCAGGGTGTCCATTTAAAAAGCTTACAGAGGTTAAACTTCCTATGATGGATAATTAGGCTATTAGTCGAATACTTTTCTTGTGCGGCAACTTGAAATTGCTTTTCAAGGGAAAACATTTCAGTGCTACAATTAACTATAATCATTAAATTAAAGATACAAAAATTTAAGACTGAAAGATCCAGGTCTAAACAGCAGTCAAAGTGGTGGGGACTAATACACAGCATAATGCAGAGAAGAAAAGCATAGCGTACAAGACAACAGTTGTATGTAGTGCACTCTGCCTGACCAAACTTTGAAATTCTATTGTGTGGTGTGATAGGAAAATGGCACTTATTTATAACTTCAGCAAGCAGAAGATGATGGCAGTGAAACTGGCAATGAAACTATATATGTTATATATTATAGAATAATATTACAGACTGATGGCTCTATCAAATTGAGGTCCAGTTTTTCTATTTAGTTTGGATCTTATTGCTTCGCTAAATACCCAAATGAATCGTGCAGACACTTTAAGTCTTTTGAACCCACAACCTCAGAGCCTCCTTTCCAACTAATGTAGCAGCACTTCCATAAAATACTTCAGTACATTTTCCACCTTTCCATGAATTTCCTTTATTTCTGTGGCTTGACAATTAATCCCATGATGGTTTGCTTGTAAACCCCCGCTGGCCAGCGCTGAAACAGAGCTTAGATTGTAATGGCTTCATCCACTGGCATCAATGTGTCAATGTGGATAAGTGCAATGTGCCAAATGCAACACAAAGTGAACTGGCCATGACAATGAGTAAAGCTGTCTCCCATTTGAACTCCCAAACCTACAATCGAATCACCAGGATTTATCTTTGACCAGAGCAAACCCCTCCTACTCATTACTCATACTTTCAGTGTTAATTTGTCCTTTTCATCTGGCCTTCATTTGTCAGCTGAGAGCCCTAATTTATTGATCAATAATGTGATAATGTAAGTGTTTTTATTGAGCTATTTGTTAAAGCACTGACTGAGTGAGATCAGAAATGAATGCTGTCTTTGCAGTTACAATATACTTCATCCAAATTGTATGCACACACAGACACACACGTCCACAAACACACTTTCCTTTTCCCTGTCTTGGCCTGGTGCATTAGTATGTGTGGTTCTTTGCTTGCCAAAATCATCAGTAGATATCTTCAAGCATGGAGCTGTATGAATGCTCTTTTTCCCTCCTTCCACAATATGATGTGTTTCCTTTTTTGTGTGTGTTTTGATCCCTCTCTTGCGGCTGAGCTGCGCTGTGGTGAGGCGCGGGTTCGAGTGGCGCTCCTGTGTTATTTTTGGCAGCAGCAGTGGTTGGTGGCTGTTGAGGAGAGAGGAGACAGAAGGGGGATAGCATGAAGACCAAAACCAAGGCTGTTTAAGGGATTTCTGTCTGAAGGAATTGCTTTGTAATGATCAGAGACTCATTATGGATGGATGTGTGTGTGTGTGTGTGTGGGTGTGTGGGTGTGTGTGTGTGAATGCATGAGTGCAGACACACACACACACACACACACACACACACACATACACACACACACACACACACACACACAAAAAGAGGCTGGCATGCACATTTGTTCATTTAACACTTCACAAACACCTCATATACATGTTCTCCTTCACAGACCACACACTCAGAGTCACTAAATTGCTTAACCTGTGAATTTCCTATTTTTTCATGGAATGCACACCATCCACACACTGGTATTTAAAATGTCCCAGCAAATGTACATATTTGGCCTTAGTTCATTTTCTCTGTTCCTGCCACATGCTTGTTTGTCCACCACTTTGTCAATGCTCTCTCTCCTCTGTGGGAGTCACACTGAGACATGTCGCCTGCTCAGGCAACATGCGGTGTCAGACATTCACGCTCCTCCCTCTACGCTTCTGAAAACACCATTCGAAAAAGATTTTCTCCAACTCTGCTCTTGGCCGCAGATCAAGAGAACGTTATTACTCGACTTTATTTATTTATATATTGTGGTGGTAATGTGTGTGAATGCATGCGTGCATGTATCTATGTGAGTGTGCGAGTGTGTGAGTGATATGTAATTGTGTATGTATGTGTGTTTGCCCACAAAGATATTTCAATTTCTTCAGAATATTAAATAAACATGCAGCAGCAGCAGCAGCTTCACTGAAGCGCTGCCTGCCAGTGGGTTTTGGGTTGGATGGGTGGCGGTGCTGGTGGTGAAGGGGGAGAGGGGGTTTGTGGCCGTGGCTCTGGGGGGGTGAGGCAGCTCATGGTCAGGGCCCCCGCCGGACACACTGGCGCCTCGCGCTGGAGGACTTCTGAACCACCACACTCCTCCACCAAAACCCTGCCAACCCTGGCTCCCTGCTCCCGCTTCCAACCCAAATCACTCAGTTCTCTTTCTGCATTTCGACTCTCTCTCTTTCTGTCTGTCTCACTGTCTCTCTCCCTCGTCTCCCTCCTTCCTCCCCGACTGTTTTTTCCTTCTTCAGTTTCCTCATCCAGTTGATCCAAATCCAGATTCATTTGCTATTTGGCTCCATTCTTTTTCTCACTTACCACTGTACTTTTTGTGGCAGGTCTCTCTGACTGTGTTTTCTCTACCTTTTCTCCTGAGGGTTTGGTGTTTTTACACCTCCACCACACCTTCTTTGTGCTAGTCTCTCTTAAATCTCACTTTAAATACTCCAAGGAAGTATTTAGTGGCTTGAACTTTTAAAAAAAATAAAAAAAAGGCAAACAAGCATGGTCTGGGCTGTATGTCAGTCAAAATATTGTCAAGATAGTAAGCATTTTCGAAAGGAAAGAACCCTTTAATGGTGCTCTCGATATTTGTAAGGGTATTAGGTTATAATGGGCCATCAATTTTCTGAGTGGTTTTCCAACCGTCTCCAAGAGATATAGAACTACTTGTC